AATTTTAAAAAAATATTAGACTATCAATCACACAGGCCTCTCGTGAGATAAAGAATTAACATTCTAAATATTATTTCTAAAATGTGTTTTTTTGTCGTTACACCATAACTCCGTCAATTCTTCATCAAATCCAATGATTGACCACTCATTTTGAAGATATTCTTCTCCTTCACATGCAAAAAAATAGTCCCATCTCTCCGAAATTTCTAGAAAAAAAGTTATGGAGGAAAAGAAACTTTATTTGCCGATAACTCAAAAAGTATGCAACTTTTTCTAAATTCTACCCATGATAATTAGAAAGATTACTAAATTACCATCAAAACAAAAAAAAAATGTAAAAATCGGACAATTATTAACAGAGATACAGTCCATTAGTTTTGGTATACTTAACGGTCTTCCTGTTTAAAGTTATTGCATTTAGGAAAATAATAGTCTACTAAATTTTTTTTCTGGATTTTATATTAACTTTATGTCTTTTTTCTTAAAGACATTTGGTTGTTCTTACATTTTATTTTTTTCAATAATTAAAAATATCTTATGTTCGGGGCATTATTTTGTCTGTATTACTTTCATTATCTTCCCACTCAGCCTTTATAAAATTAATTCCTAATAAAAATAGGTCCTAGCAAAGCAATTTGTACAAATATTTTGGTCTACTATGTTAAATGGAATATTGTAATCGACTAAAGAAAAAATATTAATTCCTTCCATACATAATACTTAAAAACTTCTAATTTCCTTATTGTTTTGGAGTAAAGGTCACAATTTTCGCTTATTTCGTTATTATATCGAAAATGGCCCATTGCAGAATTTTTTTCTATAATGAATCATTTAAAACTTTTATTCTATAGGTTTCGTCCGAATTCTAAACCGTCGAGAGAGACGCTCGGAAAAAAGATAACATTTTCGAAAAAAATCATTTTCTCACATTTTTCATTAAACATTCCTTCATATCATCTAAGCTATTCATTTGAGAAAGAAATTCATTTAAAAGAAGTTGTATACAATTAAATTACCTTTAAGAATATAACGGTTAAGAATTCGGATAGATTAGAGACTTAAATTTCCTATTAGAATATACAGGAAGTTTCAGGGTTAAGTGGCGAAACTGCAAAAATGAACTAAGGACCTCAAAACAAGAAAAAAAATTCCTCTGAAGGTATGTCAGCAAACGCTTTGTTTAGGCGATATTCACACCTAAAGATTTTCGTTGTTATGAATTATTTACGTTATATAAAATAAATAAAACCTTATTATTTGCTTTAACTACTTTATTAATTAAATGCAAACATTAACATTTATATTAATAGGTCCGAATTTATTGCTGCCTTGACTCAATGCGGCCACATTTCTGAAATTTCTTAAAATGATTTAGTTGAACATATTCCACTACAAATGAGAAGGGACATATGCCTTCAATTACATGGTTGTCCTGCACATTACGGAAGAGATCCACGACAATGGCTAAATGTTAATTATCCCAATCAATGGATTGGCCGCGCAGGACCAGTGTGGCTTGGTCTGCACACTCTCCAGATCTAACACCACTGGATTTTTTAGTTTGGGGTGACATAAAACAAAAAGCCTATGCAAGTCTAGTCAATGACCTTAATTCCTTACAAAGAAGGATAATTGAATCTTGTGAAACAATAACACATATCCAGTGCCGTTCTACCATAGCTCTTTTTGAAGAAAGATGCCAAGCCTGTCTTAATGCTCAAGGAAATCGCTTTGAACAATCTTTAATATGAATTTAATGTTTACGTATAATTAATAAAGTAGTAGGAACGAATAAATAAGTTTTATTTACTTAATATAACATAAATAATTTATAACAATGAAAATCTTTAGGTGTGAATATCACCTAAACAAAGCATTTGTTGACAACGCTCTCGCAATTATTTCAGATGAAATTCTCATTAAATATGAATTTTTATATCGATTGAAAAATAAAAATTGTTTGCTCAAAATTTCCAAACATAGTTAGGAGCCTTCAGGGAGTGGGGTAGCTCAGTGGTAGGGCACTCAGTCCCAGGTTCGAATCCCAGCTCATGGCAGAAAATTTATTTATCTGTTTCATTGGCCGTGGGGCGACCCTGGGTTGATAGACCTTCCTGGGGCATACCCAGCCTCTATGATGTGGTTACCCTTAATTATATAATTAATTAAGGGGGAAAACTTGGCGGTTGAGCGTGATCTCGGTCAAATCACCTCTTTGCACAACCATTGACCTTGAAACAGTGCTTTCCCTAAATAGTACTGAACCTCAGGCACCCTTCATGGGTTGTAGTGGTACAGATCAGTTAGGAGTCTTCATTTTTTTTTTCTGAAAATCATTTTACAGTAAAAACTATTTAGTACTTTTGAGCAGTGCTGGCACTTATTCTAAGGATAGTGCAACCCCGGAATACGCCTGAGGGTGCCAGCCAGGAATGGTACACCAACCACTTATTGCGAATTGAAAAAATTACAAAACGTATCCGAATAATTAATTTTAGCTTATTAATAAAACAACAGAATTAGAGGCATATTGAATGAAATATAATTCAAATATTACCAATGTAAAACAGCTTATGAAATAAAATAAAGTTTTATATAAAAGATGAAGTCATTGCTTGAGGTCTAAGGTCAATACTCCTTTTTAGTAATTGCCACCAGCAATGGAAATCTCTAAACTAAAATTTCGATGAGGTCGTGTAATTTCCCAAAGGAGGTTGTTAGCTCCACTTCTATTTAAAATATTTTTTCTTAATAGAATTGTGAATAGAATGATTGTTCCCATAAATCCAAATGGAGATAAATTAGGTTTTACTGTCAGTTTACAGACAAACATTGGAAACTTAGGCAATTCAAACTTAGGTTTCAGAATGTAACAAAATAGTTGTATCATGCAAGTATCTTATAACTGACTAATATAATAAACTAATTTACATAATAAATCCATATTCAAATTAATTATCATTTTTATTTACAAATTCATAACATAATTAGTAAATTCAGCTATAAATAGTGTAATATCCAAATACTATTAAGCATATTTGTGCTATGAATTCGTCAAGTATTTAGGTTTTGACAAGAACTAGATTTACAGATAATTTTATAAAAATAGTTTATCATACAACAAATTCAGCTCAATTTAACAATAAATATTGTAACAAAATATAAAATTAGTATTACTGGTTTACTGTGCACCTATTTACCTCAAGTGCTCACAACATTAAAATGTAAACAGTCGGTAAAGTTGCTATATAAATAAATATGTTATTTTCTACTACAAGAAATACATATTCAATAATAAATTATTAAATTAACAAGAAGACATTTTAAAGTTCTTGTTTATATTTGGCTATGATTATTCAACTTATCCTAAAAAATAACTAAAAAAAGTTTCTTTAATAACAACCTAATAATTTAAAAAGATGAACAGAATACAATATGTGGAAATCCTAATAGTAGTCAAGAATTATGTTATTCCTATATTTTTAAACAAAAGTGAGTGTGTTATCAACGATGGACTATCCTAATTCATCTCAGAAAGGTTCTTTAGCAGTTATTTGTAAATCTAATAACTCAACAAAAAATTGGCTTACCTAATACATGTGAGTTCAACAATAGGATAAGAAATACATATCATTAATCGTAACAGCACATTTTAATAATAGTTTAATTTTTGATAAATTTGTGTGTTAGGTTACTCTTACAGATATATAAATTCCTTTAAGAACATTACAGTTCAATTGTAGTAAAATATCTATCTATCAAGATATAATTTGTACAACTCTCTCCCAGTCTAGGCTTTCTTATTGAAAAAATATAAAATGCACTTGCCTACTTATAAGAATATGTAGTATTTATTAAGATTCATTTAAAAATAAAGTATGCTAATATTCACATAATTGAAAATGAGTTTATTACTAGTTAAAATAAAATAATTTCAAAAATGTTCTTGCTATTAAATAATAAATAAATAAATCACCTATAAAACCAAATGGTAAACTTGCCACTCTACCCATCGCAAGAATATAGTTATATATTTAGTTTTTATTTACTTTATCACACTGCAAGAATACAAGGTTTTATAGTAAGGCAATTCAATAGTTGGGCCACTACCATCCCAGATAGCTATCAGCACTAAGATATCAGGACAAACCGCTGTTCAAGATAATCGCTGCTTCACCAGCAAACAACATTGGGTTAGTGGAAACACACTTGGAGCTTCGACATAAATCTTAACCTTTGCCTAATTAAATCTTTTTTTGATACTACAAGTAGTTTGTAAATACAACTATACTCAAAACTGCACTTAGTTTAAATATTTTATATATTGTTACAAAAGAGCTTTAATTATTACTCCCAAAATTAAGAAATAAACTTAAAACATGACTACTTAGATAAACAAATAAATAACATTCCTGAATATTAAGTATCGAATACATAAAAATGTATTTTCAACTGAATATATACAATTATAAAGGAATAAAAAAATAAAAATAACGAAAACCTAAGAATATTTTAACTTATTTTATTAAGACTGTATAAAGGTAACATAAACAAAAATACCTTTTATGTTTTTGCAAATAATACAAAGTAAAATGTATATAATGATTGGAGTGGCCTAATTAAAAATGTAAGGAATTAATAATATCCTTATCAGAGGCAACAAAGTTAGTAAAGCTATCATAATTAACTCAATCATCAAACTACTCAATAAACTCAATTATCTTAAATTAAAATGAAGATCATAAAGTAAGAATAGTCGGTTTAAAGGAAAACAAAAGTTTTATTAGTTATTGATCATTAAAAAAAATAATAATCAGTATCCTGTAAAAAATAGATATTAGGATAGGTTTCTTCAACAAGAATAGAAATATTCTGATCACCAATAGTCAGTTGAGGCACAAAACAAACTTTTTGAATATAAATTACAATTAAAACAATACTTCTAAGACAGGTAATGCTAAGTTTCTAATCAAAACAGGAAAAAAAAAATAAATAAATAAACGTAAATCTTGGCCTCAACAATATAAATTCAAAAGCCTCGATAACCAATATTAATGAAATAACATGTTTTGATTGTTTTATATATTCCTTGGTATGAAGAGAAAATTTTCTGTTTACACAAAATTATAAGTCTATCAAAAGCTCCTTCAGTGGGTTAGATTTGATAAAACAGGCCTCGCCACTATTGGATAGGAAACTAGTGGACCTGCCGTTGAAAGAAGTGTCTGGCTAACGGTCGTCTGCTCCTGAGGTTGGGCCATCGTCACGGACGGAGCGGGGATTTGTACTGGTGCCATGGAGACTGTTGCTATTGATACAGGGGTACCTGAAAAAATGAAGCAGTGATCACTTCTCAGTTCCAAATGACTTATTCATAAGCAAATTAATTCTTTTCTTTTTTTTTTTTTTGTGATGTCAGGCAAGAAGAGGGATTTTTTTTGCTCAAGTCAGTTTTATCCTTAATATTTGAATAAAATTTAAATTATTCCCGACTTGTCTTACCAAACATAGGCATTAATTTCCAGTTACATGATAATTCCTTTAAGCCTAAAAGCAAAACATCCCGTCATCTAGACAAGTGGACCTTGCAAGTCAATAACTTCACCTTATGGAGAGCAAACCTGTCTCTTCAAAGTGCCCAACAATCTAAACGATTTTGTGATGAACAGAGAGACTTCTGGCAACCTAACTCTGATGTACTGAATTCTAGTACTTAGTAGTACCTAAATTCTTCCAATCCAACTTTAATTTAATTTAAAAAGTAAGTTAATTGTAACTTATATTAAAAAATATTGTGGTGATTTAATTATGCCTACAATAGTGTAAACTAATATACTGTATATTAATCCAGAGAAAACAAAATGATGTAGACATGGTTGACCGTTGATGTAATATGGAAGGAGTTAATCAGGGGGGGGAGGGGTGCGGTCAAATAAATACTAAATTCAACAGATAGTAATTATTTAATTTTTGCTGACGTTTCAACCCACTTTGCAGGTCGTCTTCAGGGCTACAAAAGATACAAAACATGGTGAAAATAAATGAATATAAGTAGATATAAAATAAGAAGTTGTCAGATACAGAAATAAAAAGATGATATCAGAGATATAGTGGGTGACAATGTAGTTAAAATATCAAGTATTATATATGTAGAAGATACATATATAATACTTGATCTTTACTTTTAACTTACATGCTATATTCTCCTTTATTTTCTATTTTTATTCATACTTATTTTCCATTTGTTTGTATGTTCTAAATATATAATACTTGATATTTTAACTACATTGTCACCCACTATATCTCTGATATCATCTTTTTACTTCTGTATCTGACAACTTCTTCTTATTTTATAACTACTTATATTCATTTATTTTATTTTCACCATGTTTTGTATCTTTTGTAGCCCTGAAGACGACCTGCAAAGTGGATCGAAACGTCAGCAAAAATTAAATAATTACTATCTGTTTAATTTAGTATTTATTGGACCGCACCCCCCGATTAACTCCTCAGAAAACAAAATGCATGAGGATAGGAAGATAGCCCCATCGAGTAATGAGAATATTGAGATTGAAAGCACAGATCTCGCAACAGGTGCAGTAGTTCAAATACCTAGGTGCCTGGATCAATGAAATCAGCTATTTTGATGGAGTGGTTGCTAAGACGAGGAGCAGCTGAAAAAAAAAGTTTCAGTCAATCAACAAAAGGTTTCCTAAACAGAGGAAAGATGATGAAAAAATAAAGCTTTTTGTTTCAGTAAAACATACTTGCCCATCCTTTCTTACTCTCCAAATCATGGACCCTTACCTCTAAACAGACAATGGAAATGAGGTATCTTAAAAAGGTTGAAGGGAAGACCAAGAAAGAAGACACGATCCGTAACACAACAATGATATCAAACCTTGAAGTACAGTAGTATAGAATTAGAACTTCATAATATTCACTCATTACTTATTAATTACTGGTATAATTCATCCAAGGTAACGACAAACTGTTCACCTCCATGCTCCGAGAATGATTTCTTTTGATCCACAGTTCTTTTAAATCTATTTTAATGATTATTAGGAGGAATTCTCAAATTCAACACTCATTCCAGGCTGTTTGTTTTACTCCAGTTTTTTAAGTAATTCATAAAATAATTTAATTGAGTTTGATATTTATACTAATATTTTAATATAGGCACATAGTTTATCTGTAATAGAATAGAATACTATAGAAAATAAACTTCATTCTGGGAGGAGGTCCCTTAAAAATAACAATTATGAACAAAAAATAAAAACCACATCTGGCCAAAAATTACATGAATCAAAATTAAAGAATATATACAATATCTTCAGTGAAAGTATATTAAAAAAAATAAAAAAGTAAAACCATTTTGAAAAAACAAACATTATTGAAACGAAAAGAAAAACAGAAATCAGGGGAAAATTAAAAACAAAATGTTATAAGCACTATGGGTTGATTCTTAAAATTAAAACTCAAACAATTTCAACTACCATTTATCTCAGTTAAAATTTGATTAATAATATTTATTTCATGGTACAATGTCATTTTGGAATGTGAAAGGAAATTGGTAGAGATTATATTTGAATGAGGACAAGAAAGAGGCATGGTGGATATCAGATGGCAAGGAATTCCAGAAGGCAGTGGATCGGGAATAGTTATATGGGAAGGGATACAAAGGTCAGAAACATGGGAATTTGATTTCTGGGAGTGGACCAAGGGTTTGAACTGTAGGAGACTATAGATGCAGAAAGGGTGTCTGGTGTTGATCGTTCAGAATAGGAAAGATCCAAGGAAATATTGTCAGCGGGAGGAGCCACTTAAACTCGTTAAGGTGGGGCACTTGAGACCTCCTCGAAGTAACAAAGACAAATCTTAAGCAGAAGATCATAAGTCGTTTCAATCTATCCTCGAGTACCATCAGGATACCTCCATACACTACATAGCCGTAGTCAAAGTTTGGTGAAAAATAAGAGAATACAAGGAGCTTGCTGATAGGTTGTGGGAGTAGGTGAAGGGAGTGATGAAATAACTAAGGGTTCTGAGACCTATTGACTTTCGGGAGATGAGGCGATATCAGGTTTCCAGGAGAGGTTTTCGTCAATGGTGCTTCCTAGGTTTTTAACAGAGGAGCTTGCGATGGGATGATCATTAATGACTAAAGGAGGAAGGAAGGAGATCGATTTAAAAGGGGAACCGGGATGATGGATTTAAGACGAGCTTGCGATCGGATGACCATTAATGACTAAAGGAGGAAGGAAGGAGATGGATTTAAGAGGAGAACTGGAACCTATAATAATGGCCTTAGTTTTCATCGTGTTTAGCTTTAAATTATTCAGACTTGCCCAGGCACTGATCCTATCTAGGTCTGCCTGAATATTGACGAATCCAACTAATAGCACAGAAGTGTGAAAGGATAAATAGATTTGGGAGTCATCAGTGTATAAATGGTATTAACAATGGTAGATGGATTTGGGAAGCTCATTAATATAGGAATTAAAAAGGAGAGGGAAAATGCTCGAACCCTGGTCCACTCCAGAGGAATGCGCAAGGAAGGAAGATAGGCGTTGGTTCAGAATGCTAACTGCTTGAGTCCGATCGGAAAAGAAAGACTGAAACCAAAGAATAGAGATTTTAATTTAGTGTCGAGTATAGAATGGTCAAAGGAGTCAAAAGCTTTGGAAAAGTCTAGAAGTATTAACACAGTTAGCATTTATTCGTCTATTGCAGTACATACGTCATTGGTAATTTCAGGATAGAGTAGTTTTGAGTTTTGAAGGAATTTGCAGATTTGGGAATGAGCTATTCTTTCCATTAGTTTAGACATTTTAGAGAGAATGGAGATTGGGCAGTTGTCTTTAGAAGTAGGATTGGGAATTTTGTAAATAGGTCTGACTAATGCTTTTATCCAAGCAGTAGGAAAAATCGAGTTCTGGAGGGAAAAATTATAGATGAACAGAAGGACTTCGGGAAGGCATAATTTTAAGGCTTAGACGGTTTTATTTTTTTATTTGATGGTTGTTTTATTTTTTTTTATTTAATTAATTTAATGTAATTGTTTTAATACATTACAGGTGTGTCAATTTTCTGCTTGAATCAACACAATCTCTAAACTCAGTATAAATCATTGTATATCAGTGCTGGATTGAAACAATTAGTGTTGAGTTTAGAAACTGGCTCAATCCCTCGTAGACAACTATAAACATTATAAAAATAATTTACTTTTTTATCTTTTGGCCCTTTTGAAGATATAATCATGATCATAGAAAAAAAAAAGATAATAGACACATGCATCGCAGTTAAACTATAAAAAACAAAACAAATAAAGTAGAAATAAGATCTCTTATATCAACAGATATTGAGAATGAATTAAACGAAGGCTTACAAATTGATGAAGCCTATATCAAATCTACATGTAACAATTATGAAAATATGAAACTATTACCAGCGACAGCTGCAATTGAAACAGGTACAGTAGCGACAGAAGCAGTCACAGTTCTGATAGTTTGAGGAGGAAGCTGGGCTGCATTAGTAATTGTAACAGCGGGAACAGTGACAGCTGTCAATGCTCCTGACTTATCACTAAGTCTCATTTGAGCATTCTGTTCTAGAAGGAATTCATTGGTCGCTTGTAAATCATCTACTTTTTTCCTTAAGCAATCGACAATGTTTCTAAGATAGGCATTTTCATCCTCCAAAGTCCATGGTTTTTCAGGAACCAGAAATGTTTCATGTTGAAAACGTCTACGTTTTTGCAGAGGTTCCAAATCCAATTCAATTGTAGGGGGGCCTTGAATGTTCGATCTACATTTGCACATAGTATTTCTGTTATCATTTCCTCTGTGAAAATCACTTTGCATCTGTGGTAATTCTAAAAGATGTGGAGGTAACTCACCAAATAGATTATAATGTTCTTCATCTTCTCTACTACAGTGTATAAATGCACATCCTGACCGTTTGCACTTGCCATTTTGATAATCCCAACAAAAAACATACTTTAGAGGATGAATATATTTACAATTTGATCCGCGCGTACAAACATTCCTTACATAATCTCTGCAAACATTAGTCTTCTTGTTTTCCTTTGCCATTTTCGGGTGAGAATCAGGTCTGAAGGATGACACTGACATTATCTGGTATTACACATTAATTATTGAAAAATATATAGCAACAACGATAATGCATACATTGTATCATAAAGAGTACTTTGACAACAATCAAACAATTATTGAGAAAACGTCAACGACCAAAACACATCGCCATGAGCAATGCCTGCCATATATTCATTGGATTTAATAATAATACGTGATAATGCTGTAAAATAAGCTATTTAATTGTAAAAGTGTTTAATTTCTTTAATTTAACTTCGTAAATTAAAGACAACTACATTGGTACATAAAAAGAAATACCGAAAATATGTTCTAGAATAGCTAATCAGAGATAGGCCTTTAATTTAGCATAGCCTGTAGTGTGGGCCCAACATTTGCGATTAGTAAATATTGATATAAATATCCAATACCAATACCATGATATACCATTCCAATTTATGGGTGTTTAGAAAATTTAGAAATAAAATAAATAAAAGTTTTTATTGAATTTTAAAATTTGCTCTATCTTTTATTATAAAGTTATCAACATAAAAATGATAATGTATTTGTACAAATTATTTTAGGTGATATATAAAGATAATTCTTGACTTTGAAATATAATATATATAATTTTGACTTTAAATAAATTGAATTTACTGTATATTATTATGTTCTTAAAGTTACAATATATGTTTAAATAACTATGTAATAAAAATGGCACAGATGAAAGTAGGTTTGTAAGACTGTTATACTTTGTGTATGTTTTGGTTTTCAATAGTGTAAACATTTTTATAAAAACATTGTTTTGCCGTAATTGTTTATATTTACTAAATACTAAAAATATTGAGAATATCCTTATAGTTTTGCTTGGCTAATAAATCGACTTTTGTGATGATTACAAATTAGTGAGTAACCTCTATCATTATTAGCACAGTTTGTGTATTTTGTTTTGTTTCTGTTGCGGATAAAATATCTTTGTGTGATATGAAGAATGGACGATCAAGAACCTCGAATAGAGGAACTCAAAACAGTTTCGCGAAAGCTCAAGGTAGACGAAGATTTTACTCCTCCTGTGGATATGATGGTCCATGATTATGATGACGAGCAAACTTTAGACGAAGAAGAAGCATTAGGTGCACTTGAGGATCCGCAGGTAGAATTATCAAGTTTAGAAAAAGAAAGTAAAATGCCATTGGAAGATCTCATAGCCATGTATGGATATGATAATGGTTCAGAAGAAAACAAGTCTACTGAAGAGAATTCTGAGAAAAAGTCAGATCCTTCAGAGCTTGAACAATTGTACAATGACAGTGAAGAAATTAATGTACGATCTACCAGATATGGCTCCCGAGCTCAAAGTGAAGATGATGACGATGATGACTACAGCCCAGAGGAAAGTAGGAAAAAAACTATCATGGTGGGTTCAGACTATCAAGCACAAATACCAGAGGGCTTATGTAAATATGATGATGCATTGCCCTACGAAAATGAAGACAAACTTGTATGGGATCCTCGCGATTTGAGTCTGAAAGAAATAGAAGACTATCTAATCAGAGCTGCTGAGCCAGCTGGAAGTGGTGTTAGTGGTATACCAATAGGAAATCATACTAGAGATGATGAAGGAGCTCTATTCCTTCTTCTTCAGTGTGGATATAATATTGATGAAGCCCTAAGGAGGCTTAAATTAAGCACCCCTGCACAAGCATCTGAATTGCCCTTATGGTCAGAAGAAGAATGCAAACATTTTGAAGCAGGACTTAGAACGTTTGGGAAAGATTTTCGTCTTATCCAGTTAAACAAGGTTCGCACACGCTCAGTTGGAGAGCTAGTGCAATTTTACTACCTGTGGAAAAAGACAGAACGTCATGACATTTTTGCCAACAAAGCCAGATTAGGCAAGAAAAAATATTCGTTACATCCGGGAGTAACTGATTACATGGAAAGATTTCTTGAAGGTGATGAACGTCCCAGGACCGAATCTCCATCCATACATTCTCTTCTTTATGGAGATCATAAATGGAGAAACGATGACGACGTACCTACAGTAAAAGAAGAAAAGTAGTAAACATGAACAATATTTACATGAATTTGACTGATTGTATAGTGATTAGAAAGTATTTTTCTCATGAAAATTAAATATACCTGTATTTATTAATAAGAGTACATATTAGCAAGAGATAAACTAATTTTTTATTGTTATTTATAAGAGTATTTGAGTGTAAAATCTGACAATGAAAGCCACAAAATAGAATTCATTCATAGGCTGATTGACTGGTGTCTCTTGAAGAAATCCTGAATGCTCCTGATGAGCTCATTTTGTCTATGAAGAATGACAAATATATTTTTTACTGGCGATTGTTACTGTTATTTTGTTATGGATTTATATGTAGTTTTATAAGCCAATAACACCTGTTGTAGTATTTATACATGTGTATATATTTCTTTTTTTTAAATGAAATTATTTGTTTGTTTATTTAGAGAATTAATTTATTTTTTATTTATGTATAAGATTGTTGTAATGTTCAACATTAAAATAATTACTTTTACTCTCATGTAAACAGTGTTAAAAACATCACAATATTTTAATTAACAGTTGGAACAAAGTGTTTTAAACCAAATAATGAATTAGTGAGCTTTCATCTAGCTCAAGTACCTTTTATTTAGTTTTCTATTCTTTATTCTTGTGTTAAATCTTGTTTGCAATAATGTAAATAACATATGTTGTTAAAGAATAATCCTATTATTTTTTTTTGTTTTATGTACATATGAATATATATATGTATACAATATGAATGTAGATATATAAGCATTGTAAAAACAAGTATTGAATAATCCATTTTTTATAGTTTTTTATCCCATAAAAATTTTTGTGATTATACTTTTCGTAAATAATATTAATTCTATAAATTTCTATTTATAAGTGCAATTATTAAGTTTATTTTCTTTTGTTTAAAAGTATTTTTGAAATTATAGCAGTATAAATCAAACAGTTTTTAATTTTTTTAACTTCACATTTTTATGTATCAACTATTGTTTCATTTTTGTGGATGAAGTGTTCATTAATATTGACTTAATTTTGTTTTCTATTATTAATCTTATCGGTTTCCAGACTTTTTATAACCCTTTTGTGGATTAATTTTCATTCAACATAATAAACTAAAACTTATGAATAAATTACAATGGGATTTTTGCTAAAAATATACTGTATGGGTGTAATCTAGTATTTTATACTTTTTGAGTTGTGCGCAAATGAATCTTTTTTTTTTACCTAAAGAAGATAATCTGCAAGATTAGGATTCAATCATTGGATTTGATGAAGAATTAACCATGATACGGTACATCATAAAAATACATCTGTAAGAAGTACATTAAAATAAGGGTGGTGCTGAACTGGTTCCCTTGGAAACCAGTTTACTTTTTATTGATTTTTCAAGTAATCGAAAACTATAAATCTCATGAATTATTATTATTATGGCACTATGCTCCTGAACGAATCAGGGCCTCCTCTACAGCCAACCTATCTCCATGGTATTTTGCTACATCCCTCCATCTTCGAACGCCCAGCCGCCTCAGATGGTGTCCTATTTTTTTTCTCATCCGGCCTCTGACGGTGCACCCTATTAGGCATTCTCTCCACATGACCGAACCATCTAATTGTGGGGGCTATCAATGCCACAATATCAGGTTCATAAAATTCCTGCAGCTCCTTCAAATACCATTCTCAGAAATTCTGTCCCAGATTCTTCTCAATACTTCTCTCTCCCAGGAGTTGAGCATGCTTTTTAATTTTTTGGTTAAGGTCCAAGTCTCGCCACTGGCCCTACTATGGTTTTATAGATGAGGATTTTCATAGAGTGATCTAAATTTCAAGTCTTTGCATTGAGAAATAGCATCTATTTCCTGCTGCCATCCTGGCCTTTATTTCACTCTATTTTGTTGTATGTGACCAGTACTCTTGGAGTATTGCATTTATTAATTATAAAGAAACTTATATTGTGTAAAGAAATTGGGGACTAGACAAGATGGTTGGGGGTTACTGTCAGGGAGGACACACAAACAAATGTCCTTTATTTTTGTTCTCTCTGACTGCAATTAAAAAAAAATATATGTTTCTCTTAGCATAATTGTGATGATTTATCAAAATTTTCTTAAGCTAACTTTTTGGAATTAATCCCTTATATTGCATAGATGGAAAGCATTATAGGAGGGTTATGATGAGTCGAAATTTATGAAAATTGATATTTGATGGTGCTCAATAGCAGGCTTGTGTTTCTCCAGTTAGTAAGTAGCCCTCGGTCTAGTCAAGCCTGGAGATTGTTTATGTTTCCCATCTGTGTGACTAAACTGGATTAGCAGTGTATTGTAGACCATAAAAAAATTGACACAGCCTCTGTAATGAAGTGTGTATAATAATAAGTCTCAGAAATCCATTCTGAAACTGCTGGAGCTTAGTTGCCTTGAAGGATATATTTGGAAACATTTTCACTCCAGGAGGAAGGCCAGGTTTTAGAACTTTCTTATAAAGTAATAATCAGAGGCGAAGACATATTATTTGATAATGTTAAATCTTCTTATTCGGCATTACGACCCACTGGTTGAGTCAGCCTGCTCAAACTTAGACCTCCAGTCCTCCCTTTCCTTGCACCTTCCAGTTCATAACACCGAGCAGAGATCTCGCGTCTGCAGCCACGCAGTCTTCCCAGTGAAGCCTGGGGCGTCCAACCCGCCTGGTACCGTACATTTGCTCAGCTAAGATCTTGTAAGGAACTTCGTTTGGATCCAGCCTTATGACGTGACCAGCCCAGCGAAGTCTTGATACCTTTAAGAATGTTGATACGTCTGTTTCCTTGTACCTCGCTTTTAACTCAGCATTCGTTGTTCTTCTCCAAGAACCTTCCTCATATATACGACGAAGCACTTTTCTTTCGAAGCGGAGAAGGAGATGCTTAAGGGCTTTAGTTGTAGTCCAACATTCTGAGCCATATGTAAGAACTGGTCGTATGATTGTCTTATAAATTCGCATTTTCGACAACACACTATGTGCACACACGTAGGTAGGGTGCACATATATTTCGTTTTTCAATATTCACCATTAGACCCAGCCTTGCTGCAGCTTCCTCTAATGCTTTAAAAGCTTCTATTATGGCGTTTAAAATCCTTCCCGCAAGATCCAAGACATCCGAAATTTGTACCCCTCAAAAATTCCAAAACCCGTCAAAATATGCCCCCTCAAAAATTTTGATGGCGCCATGAAGCTTGCAAGGTTGAGACTATGACAACCAAAAGGATTAAAAAACGCGCGGAGAAACTTTTTAGTTATGTGACTATGAACTCAATTTCGCCCATTGTCATGACCATTTCCTCTACAATCATTCACATCAAAATTGTATTTATTGACAATTTCGTCCAAAAATATACCTGTTAGCCCTTCACCCCTTGAATCTCCTGTTACAAGTAAAAATCTGGTGCGATGAGCGCATCACACAGCTTTCACTTACCACCCTTTTAGCAGAAATAACCATTTTCAGATAAAGGAGAAGTTAAACCAAAAATTATAAACGCTATATTGATTTATATTTCATTGTGGATATTTTTATTTGTTTAAGTACCCTTTATATACACAAATTTTAATATTTATATAGCTGTAATATATGCAATTAAATAATAAATAATACCAACGAAAACCGCATATCATATGTATATAATATTGTCGGAGTCCGTCTTATATTAAGATCATGTTACTTCTAATCTTCTCAAGCCTGTTCTAATCTTCGGGCCTGCACTCGTATTCCTATGGTTCCTTCATTATAACTATTCCATGTTACGATCTCTTATGTCTCCTTTAGTTAATTATCAAATTCTTTCATATTTTATGCCTAACTAATTTTTATGTTAGAGATCAATGTGAAATGGCTAATTGTTTCAAATGAAAAAAAAAAAACTGAAGGTACTTTAAAGGAAGTTCCATCACCAGATATCGAAAAAATATACGATATAACTAGAATATATTACACGATGATGAGAGTAGAGAAACCATACCACAAGAGAGAAATCGTGCAGTGCCATAATTGTCAGGCGTATGGCCACACGAAGACATATTTTCACCATCTGCCGCATTGCGTGAAGTGCGGTGAACAGCACAAGTCTGTAGAATGTACCAAACCGATACAAGATCCTGCAGTGTGTGCACTATGATTGGAGGGACACCCGGCCAACTACAAAGGCTGCCATATTTACAAGAGCCTCAAATCCAGACATCAGAAAAACCGGATTCAAGATGAAGTAGTAAGAGCAAGAAGAGAGAGAGAGAACCTTCAAGAATAGCGTATTGTTTTTCCAGCTACCTAGAGGTAAGAACTCACCCGATAAATGTCAAGCCCTACCGCAACAACCTGAACCCCAACCTCAAAATCCTATTGATCCTAATATACCTAACCATCAACAACAACTTCATCATATCCCTCCTCACTCAAATGCAACAGATCTTACCAGTTTGTTAGCATACTTCCTCACCTATTTCAAATCCCTAGTTACTCCACTCTTATCACTCCTCACAAATCTCGTATCTCACCTCATCCCTCCTTTAAAAAATCCTTAAGACTCACATCCCAAAACCCATATCCATTCTCCTTTGGAATGCGAATGGTGTTAGAAATCACGTTGACGAACTAACAGCTTTACTACTGAACAAGAACATCAACGTAGCACTAATTATGGAAACTCAACTAACCACAAAACAGCTTTTAAAAATACCTCAATACATAACATGCCCTACTGACCATCCTGACGGTAGAAAACATGACGGTACTGCTGTTATTGTACACCACTCCCTTTCTCATCACCAGCTTCCATTGCCGACTCGAGATTTCCTACAATCCACCGCCATCGTAATCAAAACCTTCTCCTTTCCCGTTACCTTAGCATAAGCATATTGCCCTCCTAACAGATCCATATCCAATGTCCAGTTCAGTTCCCTTCTCAACTCCTTAGGACATCACTTCATCCTGGGTGAAGATTTAAACGCCAAACATCATAAATGGGGCTCTAGAATCACTAATTCTCGTGGTAGAACATTACTATCTGCACTCAATTCCCAACATTTCAGTATCCTTCTTCCTAACTCACCACCTACTGGCCCACAGATTCAAACCGCTATCCTTATATGCTTGATTTTTTCATCCAAAGTGGCTTAGGTCCCCTCAATCATTCCCTTACCCGTCTTGACGAACTTGCCTCAGATCATAGTTCATTATTACTCCAATTATATCTAGTTCCTATTCCTAAGCCTTCTCCACCGTCCTTCATCAGAGGCCCACTTAACTGGAAACTCTTTTACCAAATCCTTTCCGGTAAAATTGACCCTCAGAATAACCCTGAAAACCCCAGAAGACCTTGACAATGCCGTACATTTCTTTACCACCACTATTCTATTGGCTCTAAAGATTCGTACCTATTCTTAACATCTAGCTCGAATTGAGTTCTAATAGATGGATTTTTTAATTTTTCCAAATTAAAATTCTCGAAATCGAAACGGATTTCTTTTATCTTAAGTTTTTGTCGAAGTTTTGAGATTAATAATTCATGATCCGATCCATATTCTGCTCCATGAGAAGACCGTACATTAATTAAACTGCTTTGCCAGCTATGTTGTATCAAGACATGATCGATTTGATTTCCAGTTTGCAAATCCGGTGATGTCCAGGTTTATTTATGAATATCCTCATGTTTAAACGTAGTACGTTTAATTATCAAGTTTTTCGAGATGGCAAAGTTTATCAGACTGATCCGATCCATATTCTGCTCCATGAGAAGACCGTACATTAATTAAACTGCTTTGCCAGCTATGTTGTATCAAGACATGATCGATTTGATTTCCAGTTTGCAAATCCGGTGATGTCCAGGTTTATTTATGAATATCCTCATGTTTAAACGTAGTACGTTTAATTATCAAGTTTTTCGAGATGGCAAAGTTTATCAGACTGATCCGATCCATATTCTGCTCCATGAGAAGACCGTACATTAATTAAACTGCTTTGCCAGCTATGTTGTATCAAGACATGATCGATTTGATTTCCAGTTTGCAAATCCGGTGATGTCCAGGTTTATTTATGAATATCCTCATGTTTAAACGTAGTACGTTTAATTATCAAGTTTTTCGAGATGGCAAAGTTTATCAGACTGATCCGATCCATATTATGCTCCATGAGAAGACCGTACATTAATTAAACTGCTTTGCCAGCTATGTTGTATCAAGACATGATCGATTTGATTTCCAGTTTGCAAATCCGGTGATGACCAGGTTTATTTATGAATATCCTCATGTTTAAACGTAGTACGTTTAATTATCAAGTTTTTCGAGATAGCAAAGTTTATCAGACGGATCCCATTATCATTACTATATTCGTTTAAACTTTCTTTACCGATCGTCGGAACATAAATTTCTTTCCTCCCCACCTTTGCGTTTGCGTCACCTACAATTATTTTTATGGAGTTTCGCGGTAGTTTATCATAAATCCATTCGAGTTTATCCTGAAGTTCGCATTTGACTTCATTGTCACTGTCTTCGGTCGGACAATGTATGTTTTAACGCGATTTTAAACCAACGGCCCTGAAATATCGCTACCAAAATTCTAGCAATTAAGAATTGTACGTCCCTCAAAGCGAATAGCAATCTATTGATAATTAGAATCCCGGTAACTACACAATGATTCCGGCTTCCTCCGTGCCGAATAGTGTACTTTCTTTCCCTTATCAAGACCTCCCATGGCCAGTGAACCTCTTGCAGAGCCACAACATCCAAATTGTACCCATTAATCTCATTCGTAACCGAATTTAACCCCTCCCTCCCTACTGTGTTTAAACTCCCCACTCTGAGACCCGAACGGGGGATTAGTTTACCTCTGGATAATGAGCGTTTTACCTTAGGGAGATCCATGACTATTTGTGGTGTATGGTGAATTAAAGATATATGAGTAGGACATTCAATCCTATGTCACACCCTCCAGCAAGTCTGGAGGGCCCCTTTCATTGTTGGTCAGCGAGTCCATCGGACTTAGCCAGGAGGAACTTCCAAGGAATTAGCACCGACCACCCTCACATCCGCCACTCATGGGATACTCCCGATATGCTGTAATGGGCCCACGCATGGAGTAATTTTTATATAAATAAAAAAATACTACCTTTATTACTTGGACAAGTTTTTTTCTGGCCGCCAACTAAAACTCCTCAGGATTTTCTTCGAATTGAACTTCAATATAACTATAAGAAAGCTGAATTACTGCTCTTACAAACAACACCAATAACTTTTGGATTTAATTTCTTTTCAAACTAGAAATTAAGAAAAACTTCTAACACATTTTAATTTGGAAGAAAGGGCCCACTGGAAAAAATGCCAGAACATCGGTGTAATATTTTTCGATTTATCAACAAAAACAATTTGGTTGAAATCAGTGACCCACAGACTGCATCCTCTCACTGCAAGATTTAAATATAATATTAAATATAATTTTTAAAAATTTCTTTTTGTTTATTTGATCATTATTAGTAAAAAGTGTATCATAGTTATTTTTTCTAAAAATATTGGTACTTGGATCAAACAAAATTTTATGTCATACAACTTATTTTACAATATTAGCAGCGAATCTAAGTTTATTCAGAGTTACACTTCAATTTAAAACTTATTAAACAAGAAAGTTTTTCTAAAATTAGGAAATCAGTAGTCCAGTAGGAGACTAAAAAAAAATTAGGCACACTGTATAAAATAATTATTTTTTATGCTTTTTTGGCAAGACCCTAATATTTTTCAACCAAGTATAGTCAGAAAAAGTTTCATTGAAACCAGTAATTCTGAGTTAGAGTGGCTCTTCCCCTCCATTCGAAGACAATATTTCCTAGGTACATTCCTCTATCATATCATCAACAATCATCGTCCTTCCTACGCCTACAACCTTCTCCAATTCAAGTCCTCAGTCCACTCCTTCTCCACAAGATCTCGACCTTCCGACCTTTACATTCCTTCTCACAGATCTGCCTCGTTCCAAAACTCCTTTATTGCACGTTCTGTTAGTTTCTGGAATTCCCTTCCTATCAAAATTCGACATTCTTCATCCTTATCTACATTCAAAACCCTCCTATTCCAATTCCTGTCCCAAAAACAGTCAGGCACCAGCTAATCTTTTATGTAAAATTACACATTATCTATAAGACCATATTCACATATAGCTCATGACCTGAATACTTATTATAGATTCGACTTCTTTTTCTCTTTTTTTTTTTTTTTTTTCTTTTTCAACAGAAACAGATTTTACTGTTAAGAAGAATATACATTTATTTTTTCTGTATTTTTTATTTTTTCTAAAAGGGTTTATTTATATTTTAACATCTTACATAGTTTTAAGTATCTTAGTATGGTTTCAAGAGTTTTTTATATAGATTTTTTTATTTTATTTTGTATATAGTATGTATAACCAATATTTTTTTCTTTTCTTTTCTTTAATGACCTATCATTATCTTAATTTGTTATGTTTGTTTTTATCTGGCCAGATGTAAAATTTTAATTTCTGTACTTTTTTGTTATTCTGAAGGGACTTCTTCCCAGAATAAAATTATTTTTCTATTCTATTCTAATTCTGTCTCCCCCTGTAAGAAGTAGATAAGGATGTAAAGTATAAGGAATCAAGAAATACTTCTCAGTAAAATTATGTAACAGTTATATTTTAAACAAATATAAATCAACATTTTCATAATTTATTTTATCTTTAAAATGGAATGCATATAAACCATAGTGTGAATGGTTAATATAACCTTTTTTAACAATTAAAAAAAATATGTCAATAAAAAAAGAAAGCAATTAACTAAACATTCTACCCATTAGACTACAAGTGTCCCATTAAGCAGATATTACTGTATCTGTAAAACATTGTAAGGTACTCTTTATTATATTTTTCATATTTCAAAGGTACTTGTAATCATAAACATAGGTATTTCTATATTTTTAAGTTACAAACTTTGTACATTTTAATGCTAGTTTTCATTTGAAAAATAAACTTCATAAAATTGTACCTTAATTCTTTTCCAGTTAACGTAACTGGAACAAGGTAATTTTCAACTATGAAAATAACAGTTTTCTAGAAGCAAATTATTATAATTATCACAAAGACTAGAATAAATGCAGCGGCTCCATATATTTATGAAAATAGAAACAAAAATCAGTATTACAAAAACAGACAAAGGAATATGACTCCTCTCATCATGTCTAATTATAAGAATACTACTCCAACATGGAAACAAAACGTACGTTTAAAATTAGTTATTCTAAAACTGAGCTAATGTTATCTAGCTAAAGCTCTTCCTAGATAAATACGGTAACCAGCCCAGAATATGAATGATACAAATCCACAACATAAAAATCCAGCAATAATCCTTAGTTTCCAATGGTGATTAGAAGCTTTCAAGACAGAAACAATCCTGGCAACCTGGAAAAATAATAGATGTTTCATGAATTAAAGCCAGTTTAGACTAACATAGTAATAGTATGTGAGTATAAGTGTGTGGCCATATGAGCGACCAAAGGAATATGGTTGCTTTTTAACAATGGATTTAAACCAAATGATTACTTCCAAAATATTAACCATATTCAAGAAAATTGTGAATCTTTAAATTAAAATTTGTTCTCAAAACTAACTAACCAAATGAACTCTGTTGATGTTACTTAAACAAACCCTCCGTAGGGTTTATATTGTACCTATTATATACCATTCTAATATTATTTCAAAAAACAGCTAAAAGTAAGTTTTCTCTCAAAAATAATAGTAAACAATAATACATGCAGGCAGATAGCCTTCATAATACATCATAATACACAAAAATAATTTATTGAAATTAATTAAGCAAAAGTGATTTAATCGTAATTAAAATCAGGTACTTGAATACATGCTGTAACATCACACCAACTTACTATGTGCCATACGAGAAGAATATTATCCGGTTATATGAATGAAAAATAAACAACAGTTGTGTTCTGAGTGAATTAATGAACAAAAATGCCCAAACTTCAATGAGACAAGGCAGGAGAGGGTGGATTTAGCAACCATTTTGTAGTTTTAATGTGATGGTACATTAAGATGACTTCTGAACTATAAAGCTGCTAACTATAAAGTAAATAAAGAGACAATTTCATTAGCTAACTCTAATATCTTCCACCTTCTAAAATTATAATATTTAGTTGCAGGCCTTTTTAAGGTTTTATTTTTAGGTCTATAGATTAATACATGTAATTAATCATTCTATATATACATATATATACTGAAGAATTGCTAGGAAATAAGAAGAGACGGTGCCGACAATGTAAGGATCAGGGAAGCATATGTCTGTTTCATCGACCTGTCCAAAGTCTTCGACAGAGTCATTGTACTAAATACAGATCAGACGTTGCAGGAAATGGGAGTAGATGTGGGACTAAGGCTAGCTATTCAGAGTCTATACCATAAATGGAGAAATGTAATCACCACATCTCAAAAGAATTCATTCGTATCCAGTATCAGCAGCCGATAGGGTTGCAGTTTAAGCCTGTTCCATTACATAATCACCCTCAACACCGTACTCGAAAAATCCATAAAAGACATGAGAACGTTTCAACTGAGCTTCAGGAGACTCCAAAAACTAATATCTACAGTACTAGCTTTTTGCTGATGACCTGGTCTTATTTGGAAGCAATTGTAAAAACTTCTAATTTAACCTCCGTATCCCCCAACCAGAGCTAAAGAAAATAAATATAGTAATCAATTTAGAGTAAACCTAATTTATGAGTCTAGGAAGAAAAAACGTCCATGCAGACAGTGTTAAGAAGGAGAAATAGAATAGGTGTCCGACTATAAGTATCTTAGATCTCACTTGAATGTGTATGGATGGTTCGACGGCGAGATAAGGAGAGAATAAGAACAGTGGGAAGATGCTTCAATTCCCTGAACACTGGCTTCCTGGGAAATAAATATCAAAATATACCAATATAGTGGTATAAAAAAACATATTTCTTCCAATTCCGACTTATGCAAACGAATCTTGGACCCTCATAACTAAGCACAAGAGTCAGATTTAAGCAATGGAAATGAAGTACCTTAGGAAGGGAAAGACAAGACGGGACCGTGTAAGTTACACTACAATTAAGAGCGAGCCTCAAAATGACACCAATTGAGGAAATATTGGAAGACCATCACTTGAGGTTTGGTTTGGACATGTGTCTTGGATGTCTGAGAACCACATTGCCAGAGCAGCCTACGAAGCTATCTCAGAAGATTAAAGACCCCAAAGAAGACTTTGAATGAAGAGTTGAAGGAGGCCTTCCACAGGAGAGGTCTGGAGTGGAGGAAGAGGATGCAGCTGGTACAGAAACGGGATTTGTGAACTAGGCACCTCAAACTGCGCTGCAGCAGAAGAGGAAAGAACTGTAGATATAACAGTTATCATATTTGTACGTTCCACCCTTTTCTTGATATTTTAATGATTGCCTAGGTTGAAATCCAAACTATACAATTCCACACAGAGATGGAATGTTGACAACATATTAATCAAAACTACAAATTGCCCTTTAAACCTTCTTTATATAATTCTAATTACCTGCTCTCTCGTATCCTCAAGGCTTCCAGAATTTTCGATAACAAAATTAGCAGCTTCAGCTTTTTTTTCTAATGGCATTTGAGTAGCTATTCGAACCTTTGCTCTAGCTTCAGTCATTCTATTTCTTTCTATAAGTCTTTCAACTTGAAGATCTTCTTCACTAAAACAGGAATAATAAATCAAAACTATATAACTATAAATTTACAGAAGAATTAACCCAAAATGTAGATGTACAGATTCAAAAGTATTCATAATCATGCTGACAGACCAGAGATAAGAACACTTATCAACAAGGAGGCTGCAGGTTTTAGTAGACCAAAGTTTAATTAAATAAAAATGGATAATATAAACTATTATTATAAGAAGTTAAACACATTATTTAACTTCTCTATTTCACAAAAGTCAATACAATAAATTTGGTTGAAATATGGGAATTCTGATTATTTTTGTTATATCTTTATCTTTGTTATATAAATAAGTTGGTTTTTGGTACTGTTTTAATTTAACATTAATTTACTCAATTTAATGGTTATTATTTTACTTGAATTTCTAGTTACTCTTTATTATTATTGGAAGTTATTGAACTTAATCAACAAAAAAAGTACAAGGAGTCTTTATAGATCAATCGGAAACACAAAAAGCATTTTTATTTCTATATTGTCTAATATAACCTAATTGTTTGGGATATGTTTGTACTTAAATTATAATTAAATATTTATTTAAAGGAAAGCTTGGATATAGATCGCCATCATGTCCTTTTGGACAAAGACCATTAGGGAGTGAGCCAAGTTCATATATTGTGATCTAAATACAGGGAGCTTATACTGTGAACATATTATGAATCCTCAGAGTCAAATTAAAACTGTGATCACTGGATCATAGCTCATTCATCAAAGTGGAGTGACACCTGTCTGTACAAGTGTACCATATATATACCTGGAAAATTAAAGATTAATAAAAACATCGGCGTTATGATTATAATTTCAATATTCTGTATGTAATTTATCCTAAACATTATAGATAAGTTGGTTTAAACTGTTATTTATATTTATTAATAATGGCTTTGGAAACTGGTTCTCTCTTCATACTTTAAGACACACTCTGCTAATTTAGGTATTCAATTTTCAATAGGATGTGACCTTGGCTTATCTGTCAACTAGACAAGACATGACACAGCTAAATTTTCACACACAAAAAAAACTAAATTATTACACAGCTTACGGTGTACACAATTTTTCATTATGCTGGTTTGACCTTTGTTCTTTTTATAGTAATTCATTTACCTGTTGGTCAGAATAAATTAATGAAAAATTTGCAATTAAAGAATAATTTCGATTAGTTTACTCTGTCCAATAGGCAAATGAATCACTAAATTACTATAGATTGAAGGTGTAGGGATCACTTACCAAGTAACAACAATAATTTTATAAAGATAATTCAGCATGACACCACTTTCGAAAAGTAATGGCAAGTCCATTACGATGAATTGATGGCCTAAAACAGAAATGGAATAAAAGTTAAATTTGGCTAATCTTGTATCGTTCAATTCATATGAATTAAATAAAAAACTAAATGCCTTGGAAAAAACATCTTATAGCTGCCCAAGCCATCTCTCTATAAATTTCTGGATGAGTTATTTCATTCAATTTTCTTCGGCGCTCCTTATTTTCAAATATCAATTCACCTAAAGCTTCTCTATTTATTTCCCCAGAAGGGTGGAAAACAGTATTTCCGAACTCATTTTTTATTTTTTTCCAAGCCTTTCTTCCTGGCTCGACAACTAAATAGAGGAACAACATTAGTAATTCAGTACATGACACCTAAATTCTAAGAAATAAATTAGTAATAAAATTTGATTTACCTTTCCTAGCATAAAAATCTGCATCCAATACAGGAATACCATAATCTTTTATCATTTGAGAAACAGTACTTTTACCTGTTCCTATTCCTCCAGTGAGGCCCACGATGAACATGGTGGAACTATTTCTTACAGAACTTACTACAATGAACCAGCTCACATTCTTTAATGTTTAGGGAGATTTCAACACCAGTTATACGAACAGTGAAGATAGCAACATGACACTGATCTTACAAGTTATCAAGGAAGCCAGGGTTTACAATCTGTCATAGAAAATTAAAATCACTAAAAATTAATGAAAGCTACTATTTTTCTTTTCAAAATCTCATGAAACCATGGGATCCACTAAATTATTTTAAAAAATAAATAAATCAACAACAGAACTTTATTAGAGAGATATAATAAATACAGTATACTGGTTTGAATTGTTTCGTAATGAACGGGCATTTACCCATCTAAGTTAGTAACAATATTTCCATTAGTCTTGTCTTCATATGTTTTATAGAAATCTAAGATTTTTATAATTTTATTGTAGATGTTACCTAATAAAGGTAATAAAATATCAGGCATCAAGATAGAAGAAGGCAGGGTGATTTCAGAATGTAAGTTGACATTTTTCAATTAAATATTAAAAATCTACCTTATATCTGAGCGATATAATTCAGAAGATTGTTTTTAAAGGCGAGACATAAGTAGGAAAGTGAAAGTTGTGCACAATTTTATGTCAACCGAAAGGGCTCCTCTAAATACGTGGAGATGCTTAACTCAGTATGGCGGGACGCTCCCAGACCACATATTACTGGTAGGAAAAATGTTGAATCAAAGTCTACCAATATTTAAGGTAGCCGCCAGAGGTTGGCAAAGAGGAGCAGGTAAGCCCACTTGCCAGACCAGTTCCCCCTACCAGTACCAGTACCATGACCGAACAAGTTTTGTGAGTTGTATTCTACGTAAAAACAGTGATTTCTTGCAAGGAGATGAATTCTTTATAGAGGAATCAAGTTGTACAAATTGAGATAGATACTGAAAAAAACAACAGTGAACATCCGAATCCATGATCATCTATTGCTGTCCGCAAGACTATAGAGGACAGAAGTTATTTTTTCCTTAACGTAGGCATTATTTAATATGCTAACGCTCCAATCATCGAAAGTAGAGGAATTGAACGGGTCACTATTAATTATATTTTAAGCAAGGTTCTTTGCATTATGAAACATCTGATACCTATATATGATAACTGTTTCAAGGTTCCAATGTATCAAATTATCTTTAAAACTCTTCATCATACGTCGGCATCATACAATTTTGAATTAGTTGATATAAGTCGATCGTTCACTCCCTATCAGACATCAGAAATTATCAACAAATTCAAGAGACTTTCCCAAGAATTGATGTCCTTACAAACAATATTTTTTGTATTGATTCTTCTGTGTTGTTTGGCAGCTGTGTTGCTTTGCATTCGTTGGCATCTTGGAAAATTCATCTACCAAACGAGAACATAATCTTAAACTTCAAGTGCTTAGAGATAAGGCAAATGAAGTTCGGTTCACACTTAAAGACAAGAAGTTTATATTTGGTGTAGAAGATTTAAATTAAATAAGCTGGACTATGATTTTTTTTTTTTTTTTTTTTTTTTTTTTTTGGTCTGGCGAGGTATTTCCTGAAACATCTCTACCAATAAATCATTTTCATGTAAAAACTTATTGTTCTTCTTATGAAGCAATTTTAGTCATTGTTTATTGTTCAAGGGATGTCATTGTTTTAAGAGAGGAATTTTTCCAAAAAGGTGTTTTGCGCCACTGTACGTTGTTCAAACCAAAGTCACCAAGATTAGGCTTAACACAATCCTTCCATCTTCGTTTTGGTGTACCCTGAAGAGGTTTGATATTCGGCAAAGTAAACATCAACCCACTAGCGGATCCAGCCGGGAAGCGCGCCCCCCTCCTACCTCCCTGGGAGCTGGAAAAAATTCCAAAAAAGATTCCAAAAAGCAGTTATTTAAAGAAAAGGGAAATATAGGGGAAAATCATCATCATAGACGAATATCCTAAAGTAATATGAAAAAAAATTACTATCGTGACTAGTACCAGCAAATTCTGCCAGGGGGCTCGCCATCCCATGGATGAGAAAAGAATATTCCGAAAAATGACAAAATCACCTATTTAAAGAAAAAATAAATTTGGGGAAAACTCGTTCTCATACACGAATTTCCTAATGTAATAGGAAAAAAAATCTATCGTACCAATCACCAGCAAATTCTACCAGAGGGCGCGTCCTCCCATAGATGGTGGACAAATTCCGAAAAAAAAAATGACAAAAACACCTACTTAAAGAAAAGAGAAATATAGGGGAAATTCATTATCATTCACGAATTTCCTAATAAAAAAAAATTATGATAGTGACCAGCACTAACAAACTCTGCCAGGGGACACCCTTGGATGGTGGAAAAAATATTTAAAGAAAAGGGAAGTATAGGAAAAATTCATCCTTTAAGACGAATTTCTAATGAAATAAAAAAAAGTTATTATCGTGACCAGCACTAGTAATTTCTGCCGGGGGGCACTCTCCCCTCTGGGTAGTAGAAAAAAAAATAATAAATAAAGTATCCAAAAAACAACCAGTTAAAGAAAAGAGGAATATAGGAAAAATCATCCTCTAAGACTAATTTTCTAATGTGATCAATATCATCATCCTCAGCTCGAAAACCCATAACTGGATCTTCATCAGCCTTCACCAGTTCCTGATTCCATGGATTATGGCATCAGCACTTACTCCATTTTCCATCTCAGTTTCGGTCTGTCCACTTTTCTTTTTCCATCCGGCTCCATGCTCAGCATCTTCTTTGGGATTGAGGTCTCGTCCATCCGTTGGCCCTTCGATCTCAGCCTTGCTATCCGGATATATTTCACCACACTCGGCCCCTTGTATAAGTTAGCTAGTTTTTGGTTGCGTCTAATTCTCCATTCACCATTCTCCTTTACTGGGCCAAATATCCTCCGAAGGACTTTTCTTTCGAAAACTAATATTTTAAGCATCTGTTTAATGATAAGAGAAATAAAGGAAAAATTCATCCTCATAGACGAATTTTCTAATGTAATATATAAATATATATTAAACAAATATTATCCTGAAGAACACTAGCGTATTATGCAAGGCGCGCATCATCCCACCCCTCTGGACGGTGGACAAAAAAATCCAAAAATCAGCTATTCAAAGAAAAGAGTGATGTAGTTTTTGGGCCGCCGTGAGATGCGAATAGCTATCATATTATGGAATGATAGGCATCTGGATCGGGCTAAATAGTGGGCGGGGTGGCCGAATGGGCTAACGCGTGTGCACTGCACCGCCGTTGCCCGGCAACCTGATACATAAGACTTTGATAAAAAAAAAAAAATAGTCACGAGTTCTCGTCCCGGTGCCCGGAGGAGTTTTTAAATCCCCGCCCACACTCCCTGGTCCGGGAAAGCCCCCGTATAGCCTTAAAGGCGAGGAAGGGAGGACAAAAAAAAAAAAGTTATTGGGCTAAATCAAAAACATATGGTACGTTAAGGTCGTTATGGATGATTTTATTTGTGATAAAGTAAGGTGCATTAAGGATTTTGGATTGTAAGGACTGAATACGAGAGGAATTCGATGGTTTAGTAGAGCCCCCAAGCTCGATTCCGTAAGTCCAAATAGGTCTTATTATAGTCATATATATAAGTTTTTTTAAGTAATTGAAAGTTTAGAGCGTTTGTCTTGTAAGTGCTGGAGTAGTCGAAAACGTCGAGCGGTTTCTTGTCGTTTCAGTCTGGTATGAGGATTCCAAGTGATTCGTTTGTCTAGATGGAGGAGTCCTAGGAAGGATTTGTTCAACAGGGATAAGTGTGGTATTGTTAAAGGATACGGTAGGGCAGAAAGTCATAGGTTTGCGACGAAGGTTATAAGTAATTTGATGGTATTTATTGGAGTTTATTTTAATCCTCCAGTTTTGACACCATTCTTCAAGACTTGTAATATGTGATTGGAGAGTTTGGGACGCAATTGATGAATCGTTGTTAATTGATAGGATACACGTGTCATCGGCATAGGTGGTGATGACAGTATTGGGATGGGTTGGAATATCAGCTGTATAAACTGTGTAGAGGATAGGACCTAGGATACTACCTTGAGGAACACCAGCAAACTGAGAAAAAATAGATAAATAGGCATTTTTTAAATTTACTTTGAAGTATCTACCACTTAAGTAGGAATAATGAGGAAGTATTTAGGTGATAAGAATTTACGGAGTTTGTAAATCATTCCCAGGTGCCAGACTCTAACAAACGCCTGTTCACGAGAAAGGCTCCCGTGCAATACATTCCGCGCTGCAACGCAGAGGAAACTACGTCTACCACACGATGACATTGCTGAATAGTGGAGTAAGATGTAAGGAATCCAAATTTTTGATGTGGGATTATGTGATTAGAACCTAGGGTAGGATACAGGCGTTGGAAAATTTATATAAAAAATAAATATGAACTTCATTTATTCTTCCGAACGACCTTTTATTCGGGCACAAGAAAATGCGGATTTTCTCCCGAATTCAGTTTTTTTTTCAGTTCCAATAGATCTGGATGCATTGCAACCTCAAGCAACTATAGTCTCCTTGAAGAATCCATGCGATTCATAAAAGTGGCCACGATAATAATTTGTATATTTCTTATTAGAAAGAGTTGTTCTTTTCTTAAAATAGTTGCTGTTGGGAAAGTTTTCATGAAGGAAGGTACTAATTATTTGGTCTCCGATATGATCGGAATCTGATTATGACCGGAATCGGAAATTACTCTGAGTTTTTTTTCTTAGAGAACTCATTTCCATGCTGCAGGACCATTTATTGTAGTCTTTCTCAGATTTTGAAAACGTTGGTAAAAATTGCGTTCGTTGACCGTGGTTATAGACCACATCACTTAATCAAATTATTAAGTTTAGGTACTCATTGGACGCACAATTTGACCTTTAATTTCTTAACGAATAAGTTTTTCGCTCTGATGCTCTGTTTAGTAGTAATACGTGAAAAAAAAGATCAGATAAAATTCTGGATTTTTTGGCTGTAAAAAGTGTTCTCTTGTTGGCCCGTGTTAGCAATTCAATTTTTTACATGTCTAAACCCATATAAAGGGTGTCTTGTAAGTAGAGGGGGATATTTAAAGGAGTGATAGCCGAACCCAATAAATACAAAGAAGTTTATATAAACAATGGTTCGATTTTCATCAGGAAAGTAGGGAATTAAAGTTTTGTGATTTTTTATGTAAGCCACCTTTGTTATTGAATAGGAAATGATAACAAAAACTATTTAATTTCAGTAATTAACAATTGCTTCAATGTAAACTAGGCAAAATTTAATTTAAATAAAAATTGAGTTTGCTTTTGCTAAAACCATTCAAAGGGGACTTTTGAGCCACTAAACTCAGCTAAGGAGTGGGGGAAGCACATGGTACAGAGGTGGGCTCACCTCTGAGAAAATTCCTGAATCCGCCACTGCATCAACATTTTAGGATTCTATCATTATCAAGCTCAACAACTCATTCACTGCAATTATATTTACCAGCTACAGTTCACGTAATTTAGTATATTGATGTAGTCTTTTCTTTTCTCCCTTTCCTCTATTTTTCGACTACACAGGATTTTTCCCAGACCAGGGGATTAATGCCAGTCTCCCTAGGACCTGGATTGGAACTACTAATCTTTAGTAAACCTGTCACGTTTATTATTCCTAAAGAACCAAAGGAATGTTAATGGTTTGAATATTCTAGTTTTTAAGTTTCAAGACAAATAGTTTTGAAAGAAAAAAAATTCAATGTGGTGCCCGCATCACACAGTTTTCACTTACCACCATTCTTTGAGTAAAAATAGGTGATTTCAACATTTAGACTCAAACCATCAAATTCATTAATACCCAATTATTACTATTAAAAATTGTGGGTAAATGGTTGACTGTCATGAATAATGAAGAAAAGAATAGTTGGAGTGATCAATCAAATAAGAAGGCAAAAATAAATGATATTTATTTTGACAATTGCCGACGTTTCGACCTGAAGTTCAGGCCATCATCAGGAAAGAACCAGATAACAAGGCATGAGAAACAACATAAGCAGTGAAGGTAAAAAAATTAAATTTAAATTCAGTTGTTAGAATAATGACAATAGTAAGAACTAAGAGATAAATGATAATAACCAGTACAAAGTGTGGGATGATGAAGTAGACATAATCAAAAAAGGTGACATAAGTATTAAAATAAGAATCTTAGAATAAAATTATATAAAAAATGAAAATAAATAGTAAAATTAAAATATAGTGAATAGAATAGTTGTATTGAAAATTGAGATGTTGTAAAGTCTATCAAGATGTACAGACAACGTATAATATAATAAAGAGTTAAAACAGAGAAAAGGAATGAAAGGAAGGAGGAAAGAAACTGAGAAGGCTGAAGTAAGAAAGAGAATAAGAAAGAAAAAGAAAACCAACCTGACTATGGAGAAGTAAATCTGAGCAATGATCATGTATAGTCAGGGAGGGGGGTGGAGAGAAGGGATGTATAGTGGTGTCATCTCCAACAGTTACGATAATCATTTCCGTATTCAGCAATATAGAACTTTATATAAGGAACAAACAACTGCTAAAACCCGTATTGGCTATCAGGCATGGCAGGGATGTAAATAAAAAAAAAAAAAGGAACAAACAACTGTTTCAAGCCTGAACTTCAGGTCGAAACGTCGGCAAATGTCAAAATAAATATTATCATTTATTTCTGCCTTCTTATTTGACTAATCACCCCAAATATTCTTCTCTTCATTATTACTATTAAAATATTAGCTGGTATGAACTGAAAGTAAAAATCATGGTACAACAGATTATCATAAAAATGAATTACTGTCTATTTTATTTTACAACTGTATATTTTAATTATAATAAATAATTAGGTACCACGAGTCGAGTCGTAGAAGAATGTCAGTAAGGAGGTACAATTTCATTGTATTTTTTTTGTTTAAACGCTGTTAAATGTACAGATTTTAATTATTGTATTTTGGTTATCTATATAATTAAATAATACCTGCACTAGCATTTATAAAAACCGTACATGTATTTATAAATAATATAATATAAACCCGCTCGTTTACCATGCTTGAGGGTGTGCTCGGGTTTCTTTGTTAGATCTCGACTTTACATTACATCCTATTATACCGAGCACGCAGGAATCTGCTAATTCTCGGTCTCTCTACATCGTCTGTTATTTCTCTTTTAGTTAATGATAAACATTTTTCACTTTTTATGTTAAACCTCTTTTATTCAATATCTAGTGCAAAATAGTTAACTTACATCAATGAGGATACAACCCTCCTCATATTAAAAAACACTTATTTGTACATTATCATAACAAGTTCAAGAAAAATCGTTAAAGCAATTTTCCTAAAAATGATGTAAAGTACCACTTTCTGTTTGCCAATTTTCACGAAAAAGTTGCTGTAGCATCCCAGGCATATACAAATCTTAAATACCCACTTTTAGTGAAGTCTGACTTAGTTTTTGAGCTAGATTCTTCAAACACACAGGAACCGTTTTGCCAGACTTGGTTATTTAGACTCCGGGGAGTCTAACACAATGGATCACAATACTTTTCTTTACTATGTATTTCATATAAAAGTAAGTGAAAGTACATTTGCTAAAGATAAAAAAAAAAAGTCTTTATTGATAAGGACTTGGAATTGTTGATTCCAACTCACAAAAATATTTATATCATGATATAATGTAATTTAAACTTAGATAATGATTTCTTGACGGAAGATAATGATGTAATACCTACCAGTGTAATTTCACTTCTTTATTTGAATGTGTACTAATTTTAGCCAATTTACAGAAGCTTAAATTATTGGCACTACCAACACAAATTCTGCAAATGTTTAAATATTATTAAAAATATAAAACTTTATATAAGGAACAAACAACTGTTTCAAGTAAATACAAAATTAATAATTAAGTAAAATGTTTATCGACAATAAACCAACCACTTGCAGAATCAAATTTATATTGAGTTTAGGTTCCTATTAGGTTAGGTTTGAAGGCATGTTCCAGGGCCTCAGTAATTGCCAAAAAAAGAAAGAGTAGAATTTAACAAATTATTAGACATTGTAATATAACATATCATAAGGTATGCTACAAGAAACACAAATTATTATGATATATTTACTCACAAAAACTCATCTATGTATCAGATATGAGGAGGCTGGTTTAGTGCGGCGGTGTTCTCGCATGTCATTATTTATTTCTTCAATGCTATTTTAAACATGATCGTATTACTTATACTTTATAAAATCAATATAAAATAAGTGTATATACTATTGCAAAATCAAAATTTTATATACAAGTTTCCTTTGAACATTAAACCAATACTTAAAATTACACAAATATAATAAATACTTATTTCAATATAAAACACAATTTCCAACATCGGCAGTAATAAAATTAAGTTGATTCAAGAAAGAAGGAAAAGATTTACATAACATTTAACTTAAACTTAATTAATAACAAAATAATTTCTATAAGTAAATACACGGATCATTAATTTTTATGGGATTAATTTTATGAAAAAAGATAATTTCACCTCCAGCATAACTGCAACTTTATTTAAAAATTTTTAGTTGATAGCAAGATATTCATAAATTGGTTGATAGCTTTTAAAATAAAAACTAAATTAAATTGAGTATTTTATTCATATTAAATAAATATTTTTTTAACAACTTTGTTAAAATTATACTTAGCAAATTACATATAACAATAATACCTGAGTCTAGTTATTGTGCATATTATTTTCATATAATGTAAGTTAATAAAGAAAAAGAATTGCTTATAATTATAGATTAATAATATGATCTATTTGATAGAAAGCTGTTTCCTTATACTGAATGATCACAATTCAAACCCTGAATGGCTTGATACACTAAATTTTCACAAAAAATATTTTTGTGTTCTGCAAGAGTCGAAACCATGGTTTTAGAGACACTGGACTCATTTAGGCAAAAAAAAATTATTTGGTACTAAAGGTTGTTACGGCATAGTGTAATAGTGTTGATGAAGTGTAATAGTGTAATATTACAGTGGGCTGCACTTAAGATAAAAATTAAAAGTTGTAAAGTTATACTACGATTCACTATAATTAAATTTCAGCTTAATTAATAAGATATTATCTTATCCTTTATTTCATTAAATTGTACTAATGCTTTCAGTAACATTATATATTTCTGGTTACCAAACATATAACAGAAATTTATAGTTCCAATGGTGCATTATAATAATAATGTCACAAAAAAATTTACATTTAATAAATACTTTTTGTTTATGACAAGAAACAAAAGTTTCATTCAACAGGTCACCGTTTATCTATGCTTTAGGTAGATCATACTTTCTTCCAAAAATAATAAATGGGCAGAAATTTATCTACCATTTGAAGAACTCATGTATTTACATGAATATATTACTTAAAGATTAGTTCCAATAAATTAAAATATTACTATCATCTTTTAGAGAATAATTTAAAAGAAACATTTTTTAAAATTATATAAATATGATCAAAGGAATATCCAGGCAGGCACAAGAAAAATGAAAGCAGAAATAGAAATATCAATTTTTTAAAAGAATTCTTAAAAATTAGAAAAAATGTTTATTAATTAATTTTGTGTAATTTTTTTTAGCAATACAAATAAACTGTAAGGTATTTAACTTTTAACTGCATATCAGTAATATATGCAATTCACCTTTTACCTATTATAGTTTATCAATTTATTTGTTATAAACTATATTTTTTTAAAAACTTGTAGAAAAAAAAAGAAGATAAAATAAAATTTATTAAAATCCATCACACTACACTAGGTACGTCAATTTTAAATTATACACACACACATACATATATATATTTTAACATAGCCTTTGTAGGCTAATAAACATTCCTGCCTTCAAAAGCAGTTTGATATTTCATCATTTAAAGAATGATACCGTCATTAGCAACAATAACATACAATTTGATATATTTACATTGACTCTCTTAACCAGCCACAGTATATCTTATCAAATCTACAATTGATACATTTAAATATCATAACAGAATTGACAATAGAAAACTATACAAGACCAATAAGTACTTGAACTCTGAATAAAATCAGAACAATATTTACATATTTACAAAATATTATAAGTCAATGTGTTAAACTCTAATAACAATAAACAATATATCAAGGCTTTGAATTGTTCTGTTTCAATCGCTTTTAAATGAAGTTTAAATTCCACAGTCATTTGAGCGAAAAAATAAATAAAAGGAAGACAAAAACATTAGCGAATATTGTTTCCAAAAATGAAACTGACAATAGTAGAGTAGTTAATTATATAAATTAATAAATAATATCAATTCACTTTCAATTAGATTTACACATTATTTCAAAATATATATTTTTTTAATTAGAGATAAATAAATCTTTTTAATTTCAACAATTCATCAATGTTTTCATTGTAACACTTCTTGGAATTAACATTAATAAGTATTTTTTTAAGGAAGATGAAAATTCGTACAAATATTGTTTTTAACAAAAAATGTTTGTCAAGTGTTTTAAAGAATGTAATTATCAGAATCCCAGACACACAATAACAATACCTCGAGAGATCATAAGTTAAACATTCCTTTAATTAATGTGGAATATAACAATGAAACTAATTAGTAGTTAATTAATGTTCTGCAGACAAATAAATTAGGCTCATTCGAAACTGAGTTCTTACTGACTCTAGCTACTTTTAGGAAACAGTCACATAAAAGAAAAGAAAAATCTTTACCCATATACTACAGAACATATAGTTTCATACACCACTTGATAGGTAAAATAAAATTAACCGTTATACAGCCAGTCAATGGTATTGGTAACAAGAGCATAATAAAGCATTAATACCTGATCGATTCTTTAATGTAAATTAACTGCAATATTTTTATATGTTTTAATGCTGACTCATATAGCTATTTTGGTCTAGATTGGCAACTGAAATGCACGTGAGTGCCCAAGAAAGCCAGGGCTAATCAGCCTCGGGTCACTTCGGCGACTCAACCTGCCCTCCAGCGATATCTGTAAGTCGAGGGAATCTGACTTTTTTCTTTGATAATTCTTCCTCTGCCCACAGGATTATTTTCACAACCGAATATAGTTTCGCTTGAGTTGATTCTTCATGTTCAGTTTTCAGTATGGCAGTGTTAACCTCCGATGCAACCTAAAAGAACAAAAATATAAATATTAATAATAGTCAATAGTAAGGTGGGTGGTAATGCTTCAAGATATATCCAAAAGGTGTATAATAAAGGTTGGGTGAGTAAAACCAACTTTCTATCAATTATTTCACAAATAATCTCATGTTCACTGCATTAATACATTGTGTTTGTTTTTAAATTATTTATTTATATTATTCATTTATTTTCATTTGTTAACATTTAATCACATTACAAATAATTTTTTGGGGGGTTTCCATAAAAAGGTATTATGTTTGTTCTGAGGAAGGATGAGACCACTGGAGAATTAAGGGCCATGCACCCGGCTAATATAACAGAAGTAACAGTACCACAACAATCGAATTGTAAAGTTGTTATTAACGAACGAATCCTTAAAAGTTTAAAGCGCTAAACCCTAGGGTTAATGTCGGAGGGGTGGACCTGACTTAGATGAGAGGATTGTGCTTGCAGATTCAGATTTGGATGGTGGTTAATGGACAGAAATATGTGAAATGTGATTGGTCCTATCTGCATCGAATCTTAGGGTTACTTAGCCTTTTATTATTAGTAGTAGATTAAAATAATCAAAAATTTTAATTTAGAACCTTTTATGATGGTACAGAAATGATTGACAGTGGCTATGATTCAAGGAAGGGGGTACGTTCAACAATTACATACTAAGTTGGTGTAATCTTCATTTATCGCACACATTTCGACCTACATTGAAGTTCTTTATCAGGGCTTTCATTCAGCAATGCCAAAAAACTTAAGGCCACTATCACTATAAAGATTCGTTTAAGTCTTCCGACATTGCTGAATAAAAGCCCTGATAAAAAAAAACTGAAGGCCATAAAGAAGAAATGAAACAGTAGATTTCATTTTGTGGGTTCAGAATATGCGCCAGGTCGTCATGACTGACCAGAAAAGCTCAAAACCTCATTTTCCATATAAATTGTCCTTACCTTCTGCAGTGTGGCTATCAAAATAAAACTTACACCCAAAAAAAACTTAAAACCAGCAATAGACTAAATGGACTGAGACAACAAATTGATAAACTAAAGATTATTATGAGACTTAAGGATAACCCAGGAAAATGACAGGAAACAAACTGAAGAAAGAAAGGCCTTTCACTATAAAATAATAAAATAAGCTTCAGAGGAATTCAGGATCCCCTCAGTGCACTACTATAAAGAGGTGGTGTATTGTGATATGAAACTCTCGATCCTTCTCTAGTGTTCTCCAGAGGCAAACAATTTTAATACTCAATATTCAATATTTGGTCAGTTATATATTTGCCTTTATTTTGTATTATTTTTGAATAAATTGTGTAAAAGACTTTTGCAGTAGAAACAATACATCTTTGTTAATTGCTAATGTCACTAATTCCTATCAAATAAGTATTGTAGTTAATTAAAGAATGATGAAGAGAAGAATAGTTGGGGTGAACAGTCAAATAAGCAGGCAAAAATAAATGATAATATTTATTTTGACAATAAATAATAATAATAAAGTCAAAATAAATATTATCATTTATTTTTGCCTGCTTATTTGACTGATCACCCCAACTATTCTTCTCTTCATTATTTGCGGCAGTCAAACATTTACCCACAATTATAGTTAATTATTTTGACTGTTTTAATTTTTGTCATTATTTATAAATTTGCAATATTTTAATCTAGAATCATCCTCAGGAATATTACACAGGCTATATAGAAATAACAAAATGCAGGAAGAAGGCAAAATGTCTGAAATGTAAAAATAATATAAAATTACCATATGCTGAAAACTTGAAACAGTCAACATATTTTTTCATCTTAAATTTAAAAAAACAACTATTATTAATAGATAATTTTGACACTTAAATAAAATCACCTTATGTCGATGCCTGACATCTAAGAGATCAGCAAACGGTGACCGATTTGGATCCTCAAATGCAAGAAGTGCTAGTGTCCTTTCTAATTCTCGAAGAATACCGGGTTCAGATTCACCTGATTCACTTAACTGACTTTGAGCAAAATGGACAGCTTCTTCTACCTTTCCTTCCCGGATAAGTTCAATCAAGTGAAGTTGCTAAAAATATTAATCATACATTATAATTATAAATAATAAATAATTTACGTTAGTGTGATCGAGGATTTCGCATTGAATTTTTCTTATTCAAATATCAGAATTCCTTTATTCTTCTGGGGTACTACCAAAATTATCTTGTACTATGGGACCTAAAGGATGAAATTGCTGTCCTTTTGAAAATTCCACAAGAACAGTTTCCACAAGGTTTTTTACCAAACGGAAAAGGCAAACAATTAAAGAAACCAACATAAATGGACATAGCGCTAACCTTGTAAATAAATTTTAGCTTATAATTACACTCAGTGTCAAAATGTTAGATACACTTCAAAAATTGTTATCCATACCCTCCCATCTTTTCAAATTACCCATAAAACAGTATTAAAATAATCTATCACTCACCAGAAGTTAATCAGCAACCTGCTTGTATATTAGACAAAAATATATATTTTTATTTTATTTTTCAAATTAAAGTTAAGGCCCGTCAAAATGTTAAGACACGCTCCCTGGTAAAAATAAATAAAACCCATTTTTTTCTAACTTCGTGGCCTTTCCACCACCATTTATTAATTCAAAAATTCTGTTTGGTAATGAATCGTACAATTGTTTGATTGTTTCTTGAGGTAATAGTTCCCATGAAACCAGAATTCCAGATTTCAAATCCTCGATTGTTCTAACTGTCTTGACTCAGGGTACACCCTTCTTGAAAGAGTTCCCCAAACATTTTCGATAATGTTCAGGTATGGGGAGAAAGCAGGCCAGTCTAATTTGGCAATTTTGTTGCGAGTAAATCAGTCTTTAATAATTTTTGGTGAATGTATTGGGGTATTATCTTGCTGGAAAACTGGTGTGCCTTCAGACAAGTTATTAAAAGTCAAATTTTGTTCCTCTAACAAATTTTTATATTCAGCTGAGTTTACTCAGCTGGGTTTTGATGAAAAAATACCAAATTTCCTTTGTTTTTGTAACCAATTGATACTCACTCAAACCATGACTTTTCCTCCTGCCACTTGATACCTTGATAACATTTTTTTTCTTTTCTTAAGTTGTGAAAATAAAGAGAAAATCCATCATTTGGACTTATTTAAGTTTTTCGAATTTATTCAGTATAAGGGTCTATTCATATATTTCTGAGGCCGTATATATTGAAAATGACCATCATTATAAGAATACGCCATTGTGTTTAGACTTATTTAAATTTTTTGGATTTATTCGATATAAGGGTCTATTCAGATGTTTCAGGGACCATTGACATTGAAAATGACCTCCATTTTAAGATTAGACCACTGCGTTTCTACTTATTCACCTTTTTAAAATTCAAAAGTTGAATATGAAATGGAAAAGGTCAAATTTGATTTGGAAAAGATTGGAATTGACTTAGAATGCTATAATCTCTAATCTACAGATCAGTAGGGATTATATCATGCCATAAAACTATGGGAAATAAATCTGTATCACTTTATACATTTTTTCTAACACTTTTTTTTTTTTTATAAATCAATCAAATTTAATAAAATGGAGGTAAAAAGGTTTTTGTTGTCAACCATTGATATTTTCTTTTTAGTCACTGAACTAATTTTATCAAACCCAAAATATTGATACAACATCAATAGATTGATCAATAATTGAAGGGTTTGGTGCAAGAAGGAGGAAGCTCCACTTTTTGCAGTATATAGCAAATTAAAAAAAAGTTTTAAAAATTCAGTTTTCACCGAAACCAAAAACTATTCAGTCTTGTGTTAGATTATGGGGCATCAAATACAACTGACCATAATAAACACAAAAGCATACGCTTAGGTATGTACAATGGAATTTTGGAGTTGCCTCGGTTTTACTCCAAAGTGAATGAAAAACCCTTTGTAGGAACATTTTCTACAGAATTAACCACATTTCAGTTTACAAAACATTTATTAACAAAGAAAGTACATCATTGGCATAATACATCAATATGCACAGTTGTTCTTCAGTCTTCCAGCTCTCCTTCAGTCTCCTCAGGATCGTTTGGAACATCTGACGTCAACTGGTTCTAAAACCACATTTCGGTTTGCCCAACATACTTTTGGCCAGCTCATTGACATCTTTAAACTTTTGGCCTTTAAGCGGGAGGAGACAATCATAAGCTTGATGAAGGTGATCCAGTGTTATGCTACCTGCAAGTCCTTGGTTGCAAATTTGTGCATTATTGAAGACAGTCATCCCTACGGTCACACTGCATTGAATAATCCCTTCACTGATATATGGCTACTCATAGAGGAATAGTTTGTACTTAGTGATTAAATATTTATTGTTTGGAGGAAGAACGAGGCTGTTCCATCTGCCAGATTTCTCTGGAACTAGCGGGTGGAGCTACTTCAATGTTGTACCAAACGAAGCGGCTTTTTCTTTTGTATGTGATAGGATGTGCAACTCGATAGAGGTACAAAGTGGAGCTGCCTCCCTCTTGCATCAAACCCCTCAATTGACTTATAGCTGGTATATACTTTTCTTATAAAGAATGATATTCTATTAAAATTCAAACTACATCTAACTTATTATTTGCATGCCACGTGCATTGGTATTTCTGCTTTTGTTTTAAATAACATGGAGTCAGCATTTAATTCTATTATCTATAAAGTTATTAGAATAGAAAATAATTTTATTCTGCGACAAAGTCTCTTTAGAATGACAAAATAGTACAAAATTAAAAATATTATATCTGGCCTAAATAAAAACAAACATAAAAAGTAATAATATAGAGAAATAAGTAAAGAAAATATATACAAAATAAAAAAATCTGATTGTTTTTGGGACAGAAATTGGAATAGGAGTGTTTTAAACGTAGATAGGGAGTGAGAATGCCGAATTTTGATAGGAAGGGAATTCCAGAAATTAACAGAGCGAGCAATAAAGGAGTTTTGGAGCGAGGCAGATCTGTGAGAAGAAATGTAAAGGTTTTATTTGTTATATAAATTAGACCATTATTCAACAACATTTTATTTATTAGCTATTTTACTACGACGTTTCGAACCTCACCAGGACCATTCTCAAGTCTTATTGAGTCCTCCATTAAAATATCCACTATTAATTTTTCAGAGAAAAATTAAATTGTCCTGATATTTAAAAGTTTTCCCTACGTCAGTCCTTCCTAATACTGCCTCTGGGAATCATTGGGATTCAAATAACCCTCAAGAGTAAATAAAGCATTATTTATGGTTTAATTCTCTCTGATAAACCCTAAATACCAATAGATAAAGAAAATAGAAGGTGGAGACAACTAGTTTAATTTTAACTCAAATTTTGTAGTGGTTTGTTAAATTTTGTCCATTGGTGAACATTATTACTATAATTTCCAGAAATATGTTTTTAAATTGGAAAAATGATTTTCTTTTTTTCCTTTGGTAAATTACAAAATTCTTTCATAGTTTATATTTCGTGATTTATTATTACTACTAACAAGACACTGTTAATTGTCTCAAATTAATCATATATATATCATAAACATTAGTACAAGTTTAATCAAAAACGTTAGGGTGGTTTTGGAGAAAAATGTTTAAAATTGATGCTAACTAACTACATAAAGTGGCAGTTCTGGAAAGTCCCTATGAATCCCAAGCATAGTCGTAGTCACATACATTTATTTTTCCTTACTATATATTTTATATTTATATATGTGAAAGTAAAATAATACCTGTAAATGAAAATACAGATATCTATCATTGTCTAACAACTCTGGATGCAATTGATTAACAAGAAGAGTAGCATCATGTGTCCGACCATTTTGAATTGCCTGTCTAATTTGTATTCTGTTATCCATTGAGCTTAAGTCTATAGGAGGGCTGAGCCCAGATTCTTCTTCGAATTTTTCTGCAGCTTCCTTGAAGCCTTCTAGAACATAATACAACAATCTTTTAAAAGTATATATGAACAGAAACAGTGAAATGAAATGTTAAGAAATAAATATTTTTAATAATCCAATAGCTAGATGGTTATTAAGCAATTACTGTCTTACTTCGTCATTATCTAAAACATATAAATCGAAATAGTATTCAATAATCATAAAATCTCTTAAACCATAAAGCTGAAAAACTTGAAATTTGGAAAAGAAACTTTAATAAGGTCTTAAGTGCTCTTTAGGGAAAATTTCACCAACACTTTATACAAGAATGAAAATAGTGAAAAAAGTAAAATCATGTATTAAATTTTTTTTTTTTTAAATTATTTTAATGGAATTTACAACTGTATTACATAGAAAATACAATAAGTAAATGTCAAATTGGTAACATGACGTACAACATGAAGAGAAACTACCCATTGGTAGAACTCAAGTATTAAATTTGAAATATTAAATTATTAATATGATTTTATTAAAGATGGATATTTAAATTAGACTATTTTCCTCCTAGTTTTGGATTAAAATTAACTTGGAACAAAAAAAAAAAGTAATTTTTAAAACAGTTAAATGACATAAAATGTAGCTATTAGACTAAAAAAAAAAATTAGGGGATGGAGATTCCTTCCCAACGCATACACAGACCTCCGTTCTAACCAAGATGGGCCCAAAATATAATACCGTTCAGGGTCCCTCAAGATTTAGATTAGTAAAAATGATTTAAAATTTCTCAATACAGCAAATGCATATATATGCAAACATGCAAAAATAATGATATCAAAATTCTGTAAATTTTTAAATTTGCATAAACTGATATTAGACAAATAAGGAATATTTGCAAACAACTCTAATGACTTTATCTACAGATATCTCCTATCTTATGTGGGGGAAGATCTGTCGAAAGTTATCAGTGAAATGTACTATAATATTAGAGGCCCTTAAACGGTCAACACTAAGGCTGACCAGCCACCGAAAGCACAGGTTCCAAAACCGAACCAAAAGTTTTCAATGACAGGCCGGTCACCAGAAGCAGAGCTTTGTTGAGTGCAGTTGAGTGACTTAGCAAGAGTCACCTCAGCTCAGGTTTGGGTCGACCGATGTTCGGTTTAGGAAGCTGACTCAACTATGCTCAACTTCTCCCACCACATCTACTCACCACTGTTACAGTTACACAACAATCGTGTAAAGGAAAATATTCGATTTTTCTTTTCAGCACAGACTATTTTTTTTAATTTTATGCTATATATATATATATATATATATATATATATATATATATATATATATATATATATATATATGAATGACATATATAACCACCCCAACTAACTTTTTCTAAAATTAGAATCTAAGGTCAACCATCTGCACACCATAATATTAATATATGGATCATTCCAAAATTCCAGTCACATTAATGTTACCGAGCAATAATAAGAACTGAAAGTAGTTAAATCTTTTCTTCTCAAGAACAATTCTTTAACAAGGATACTTATTATTCATGTTTACGTGAAATTTATATTTATATGGGTTCTTTTGTTTTTCTATGAGTGTTCTCTCTGACTGCTACCTCTAACCTACTTTTCAACCATTTAGTCTACAGCACAGGCGGATCTACGGGAGGGGAGGGAGAAGGCTTTCGGGCTGAAGCCCCTCCCCTCACCCCAAAAATGGTGAAATGTAACCATATTTTATGGGAAAAAAATATTAAAATATCATCTCTTAAAGTATTATTGTTCATGTAATTACATTTAATATAACTTTAAGAATCACTTAAACACTATTTCATACATGTAGTTAGTATCTTTCTTTTTTTTCTAAAGTAATATTGGTATATATATATATATATATATATATATATATATATATATATATATATATAGCACATAGCACATATATTAAGCTACACACTAGCACATATATTAAGCTACTCCTTAATATATATATATATATATATATATATATATATATATATATATATATATATATATATATATATATTAAGGAATAGCTTAATATATGTGCTAGTGGACAGTGCTGAGACTGTCGGTGTGTCCCTGGTCTGATTGAAGCTCTATTTATTAAAATTCTAGCTTTGAAGAGGATCCCATGGTTGACTAATAAAAAGAAAATACCGAGATCGAAACGTCAATAAACAGAAGAAATGAACATTCAATAGTTTATTAAATAGTAATTAAGTGACCTTATTCCCAATTAAATAGTTAAGTTTAAATTTAATACTCAAAGGTCGATTAAGGAAAAGTTGTATATGTATATATATATATATATATATATATATATATATATATATATATATATATATATATATATATATATATATATATATAAAAAGCTTCCGGGCTAAAGCGCCCAAAATTAAATCATGGATCTGCTAATGGTTTACATTCAACAATTTCTTCACCACTATTAATTTGCTAAGAAGTCGAAAAACATCCTAATTTCAACATTTTTTTCTTAAAAATAATGAATGCCATAATGTGAAGGAAATGTTCAAATGATTCATATATAATTATAATATTAAAACAATATGCATAGTAAAAACTGCCACAAAATCAATTAGTCCGGGATGAGTTGACAAAACTAAAAAGTTTCTTTATTTTCATTTATTACAACATTAAACACTTAAAACATGAAAATACCTAACATCTCAAGCATTAATCAAAGATAATTCTGCAATAATAATTAACTGCAGAATATCATTAATTATTTCAAAAACAACCAATTAATCAAACAAACAGAATTAATCTTAAAATTTGACCATTTACCAAATGAATATCCAAAGAAAATTATTATTAGAGAAAATTGAATGTTAATTTCAATAAAATAAAATAATTCTCAGAAAAGTTACTGATGGGTTTTTGAATATCTAAAGACAAAGCTAAAATGTAACCTATACTATAAACAGGTTACCTAGATTATTTAATGACTTTCAAACATTAATCACTTTGCTAAAATGATTTCACCTTGTTGAAAAAAACAACAATTCCAAGAAATTTAACTTTTAAACTACTATTCTGAAAATATAAGTTTTTTATATGACTATTATTATTATTTTACTTTCTAAACAGTTACAGAAAAGGCTATCCAAACACTGATAGTAATTATCACATTCCTACATCAGATTTTTTTTTTTTAAGTGATCACTTTATAAGTAATGTACGTAATTCTTTTTTAATAAAGTTTGCTTTATTTTAAGGTGGATATTTTGTAAATATATAGATACATAAATGATAAGTGAATACATAAATGAATACATTTGGGTAAATATAATGGCATGATGACAATAGGATGCAATATATTTATCTACTATAGTATGTCATTTAAGTAAATATTATGTTCTTGAATAAAATAAAATAATATGGAGATACCATAAACAAAAATCTATTTCATCACAATCCAACTCTCAAAATGTATTGTACCATTCTCATTTTAATCCCTCAAATGTTTAAACAAATCATTGATTTGCCACGATTTATAAAAATATAGAACTTATAATTGTTAAAAAAATAAAGTTCTTAGTTTGAACCAGGAAATTGAATTCCTAATATTTCAAGTGAACCTAAAATTGTCTATTATAACAGTCGATTATGGTAGATACAAATAATCATGATACAGAAAAATGAAGTTTAACAAAAACAACAATTATTTATAGTTATGTAAATAATTATCAGCCTTTATTTTTCAAAACAATATAACATACCTGTAACTAAATAATTCATAATAAGTCTGTTCATGTCAGATCGCTGAACATGCATTGACTCCAATTTTTGAAGCCATTCTTCTTTAGATGTTTCAGGTGGTTTTTCAGGAAGGCTCATCTTCCTTTCTCTCACCTCCAACTGTTTTAAATTAACAAATACATCAACGTCCACAAAGGATTGCAAAATTGAAAACAATTCAAGCCTATAATTATTACCTCCCAAAATATTCCTAGAATGGTGGCTGATTTAAATTAATAAATAATAAAAATAATTGCTTTCCTGATATCCGGAAAACTTTCCAACTTATTTAAAATTAAAAATAATCGACTAGAATGCCATTAATTTTAATATGCATGATATACCATAGCAGAATCAACAAATGTAACTTCTTTTAGAGATTATAATCCCGAACAGTATGGTTGTCTAATTCGCATTATACATTCCTTCTCCTCTAGTAACCAAGACTGACGGAATAGCTAGGCAATGAACAGATGATTCAGCACATGCCAGTTTGATAGTAATGCAGAAAGGTTTATAACATTATTTACTTAAACTATTGAAAGCTTCTTAACAGTTTAAATTTTACATTTAAAATAGATATGAGGCACATTATTATGTTTTTCCCGAACTTTAGATCATAATATGATCGTCATTACCAAGAGAGGGGGTGCTAGTGGTTCCTCCTCTAGGTGCAAAATTTTATTTTTAGGTTTAGTTAAGAAGATTTGTTTCTTTTTTTTAATTACCTTTTTCGTTATATACTCTCAAATGAATTCTATAAACAACTGTTGTCTTTTTGGAAGAGGTAATTATTTAAATGAAAACTGCACAGGTCACGCTTGGTTCAAAATCTCTTCCGTCAAAATTGTTCATGAAGTACCAAATTCGGGGTTTACCCGGAAGACTGTTTTCGACCTTTCATGAACAAGGGTGACTGAAGTGATTGTGAACCACGCGTAACCCCTGTGGTCCTCATCTATATAGTGAAATATCATTTGTTTACTTTCAATTGAATTTTTGATTTGAACTATATTTATTTATTTATATGAAATGAATCTTTTCATCTCTCTCGAACTATTGACTGAGATTAAAACGTAAAGCTAAATGTGTTAAAATCTTACTTTTCTATCACAGATACGAATTCTTTGAGCAATTCATATAGCTCATTTTTTTTTCACATAATCTTATTGTCACGTTCTAGGTGAGGCTATAGGCAATAATTTTGGGGGGAGGGGGCTTCAGCCCGAAAGCTTTTTTTTTTCATAGAAATAACGATAATTAGTTTGGAAAAAAAGAAAGAAACTAACTATCTATATGAAATGGTGTTTAAGTGATTCCTAAAGTCCTTTTAAATGTAATTACACGAACAATAATACTTTAAGAGATAATTTTTTCCCATAAAACATGGTTATATTTTATGATTTTGGAAGAGGAGGCTTCAGCCCGAAAGACTTTCTCCCCTTTAGATCCGCCGTGACTATAGGTAATGGGTCACTGATTTCAATCAATTTTTTTTTCGGTGATATTACATCGAAAAATATTGGACACATGTCCCGGCGTTAGTTCCAAGAGACTCTACGAGTCGAGAAAGCAAATATTTCCTATTATTTAAAAAAATATATATGTTTTTTATTTTTGCCTTTGCTTGGCTCGGATTTTGTAAGTTATTATATATCAATCGATTTCATTTTTGTGCAGAATAAGAAAAAATATTGACTATGGCCTTAAATAAGTTATAATGTATCATAAATTACTAAAACCAAAATGCACTTCCAGTAAAATAGGCAAAAAAAAATTTTGGTATGAAAAAGTAAGTTAGATTCGTTTTTAGTTTCCTCTTAAAATCTCAAATAAAAATTTTTATAGAAATCAAAAACTTCAAAATTTAATATGTTATTTTATTGTCGGATTTTTTTTTTCCGTCCGATAACTAAAGCTTTCATAACTTTTCAGAATTTTCTCCAAATTCAGCAGTAGCACAACCGTTGGAAAGCTGAATTACTGCTCTTACAACCCACATCGATAGCTTTTAGGTTTAATTACTTTGTATACTATAAATTAAGAAAAACTTCTGAATAATTTTATTTTATAGCTTTGGTTTTAAATAGTTTGTGGTGGTCAGTTATGTACCATTTCGTGTAGCATACAGAGCCCTAAATCCCTAATCATTTTTTTATGGATTGGTGGAGCCGTTCTAAGGTTATCATAATTTTTGTAGTTGTCGACATAATTTCGAAGGGTCCAGCCTAGTCAAAAATTTCGAGCAGAAAATCTAAATTTTTAGATTACTATAAAAATTCGAATTTTAGTTTTTTTTTTTTTTGAGGTGTGAAAAGCGAATATTGCAATATATTCTTTGTTTCTACCTAAAAAATATATTTATTCTAGATACCAGATTGGTTTTGAATAAATATTATATTTGGCAAATAGCTATAATTTTGCCCAACGAGATAGCAATTCGGGAGTAAATATTTTTTTTTTAAGAGAAAGTTGATATTAGTTTTTCGCACCTAAAAAATACTTTAAATTCTAATTTTTATAGAAATCGAAAAATTATATTTTCTGCACGAAATTTTTACCTAGGTTGATTTGAAATCAAAATTTAGTTCAACACAGTGGCGGATCCGGGGTTTAATTTTATGTGAATCTTTTTTTTTTTTTCATAGTAATTTCTCTGCAAGAAAAAGAGAAAACGGCTCATTACATATATGAAATGATATGATAATATTTAATTGGTTATATTTTCCAAGAAAATAAAAACGGTATTAACAGGAACAAAAAGGCTTTTAGAGATACTATTTCTCTTGGCATGGGCTTATATTTAATAGCTGATTATTCATTATAAATTAAATGAGAATATATTCTGATCGTTTGAGTATTCAGAGTAGTGTACTTACATAAACAAATGACCAATAAAATACAATTTATTTTTCAATTTTTGGAGGCTTCGGCCGGTAGCACCTCATAAATCCGCCAGTGAACCACCTCAGTCTATTTGTCACTTTTTTCTGGGAACGTTTTTTATATTATTCGTTTTAAGAAAATCAGAGATCTACAATTCATAGAGATGTGGTTGGGGGAGGAGAAGTGCAAGATACGGAAATCTAGCTCATCATGAAATGAGGAAGAGGAGAGTTAAAGAGTTTGTCTCTTTAAAAAGTTTATATTTTATAATGGTTTGTTCTTCTTTTTAATGATATAGTTAAGAATCGTTTTAGAAGTTCAAATAATGTAAAATTACATTATTATTTTAAAATTACATAAAAAGGCGCTTATTTCACTATTTCTAAGGCTGTGGGTTGGCAGCTAGCGATGGGGGCAGATACTGCTCACCGGCTCAGAATTTGTAAAGGTAAGATTATTTTGGCCTTAAAGGTTTCGAAAGATGATTCTTACATCATATGGTTCAAAAACGTACTAGAAAACTATATGCCTTTTACAACCGTAGAATCAAATATTTCTTTCATCAATTTTAAGATAAGTGCTGGAAAATTTCTCAAGGTCAGGTAACTACGCCTGAATGTAAACAATGTGCCATTTAGAGCTTGAGTTGACGTTTTTTTTTAAGTCAAGAAATGTTCAATTACATTTTCGCTGAACTTTTATCAGGAAGACAATAATTTTTTGTCTTGCACTAGAAAAACCGGCATTTGACTTATTACATAACATGGTAGTGGTCTAATTATTAATGGCTCTTCATTATCTTTGTCATTCTCATTGTAATCATATATTTATTTTAATTTGTGGTGTTGATTTCTTTTGCATTTGTTGACATTTATTATCACTTTCTTTTTTTCAGCTTCGAATGTGTGAAGAAAAGACTCAAAACGATTCTCCATAATGGTATATCTCATGTATATTCTAACTTTTTGTCAGTTGTTATAGCTTAAACTTATAATTTGGTTTTAACTCCCCTTAATTGTTATAAAATAATTTGTATAAGTAATGTTAAGATTTGAATCTATGGCAATATTTGATTATGGAATTAATTACTCGTCCTATCTTGGCAGTTCAGTGCTTATCACCAAATGATTATCATCTGAATAAATTGCCGTTACTGCTTTTCCTATCTGTTATTTGGGTATCATTTTAAAGTTATTCAACTGCTTACAAAACAATGTTGTTTTCAGTTTACTTGTTTAAAGTTCAGTAGATATAATCTATTTAGATTCAAACTTTAAATTAATTTTCTATGATTTGCTTGACTACTTAGTGAGTAAACAATTTTCTTAAAGCAAATTATATTTTATTAGTTTGTTGAAGTCCTGTTGATGTTAAAGAGTAATATAGATGGATAATGATTTAGTTAGATTATTATTAATTAATTTAAAGAATAATTTGTAAGTATAAAATAAAATAAATGTAATGGCTCTATATGTTCAATTGATAATTATTTATTATTGTTATATGAGACATTTTTATATGTTTTGGAAGTGTTTCAATTGTTTTCCTGCAACTTAAATATGTAGTTCGTAGTCATAATGTAATTCTCACCCTTAATTGGGTTGTGTTTCTGTTTTAAACATTGCCAGTCTGTTTATTAAAACAAAAACAAATGCATGCCTATTTCACTTAAAAATTATACCATGAGAAAATTAAGCAATGGATGTTTTAATAAACTAGTTTATTTAATTTTTTTTTTTATATCGTAGCTGCAAACCGCACAGAAACAAGCATGGACGGTGCAGATTTCACCAATTTTATTTTTATTTTATTAATGAGATGAGTAAAAGTATTAATATAATGTTTGAAATATTATTCAATGGATTATTATAATCACTGATTTGAGACTTCTAACTTTATTTAAAGACTTTTAGGCATTTTAGTTTGCCTGCAACTAATTAACCTTATTTGATTTGTGATAATTGTTTACCATGAATAATCTCATTTTACTTTTATGTCAATTGACTAAATTAAAGTCTGCCCCTATATGTAAGAAACCATTTTTGAAACTTAAATTATTTGAATTTATTTCCGTAACTAAAACTACTGCGAGAATGAGGTAAAATTTAAAATTAGAATAAAACAAATTAATGCAAATAATTATATGTGACTCTGTTTTGAAGGCATGTCCAGAAATTGTTTTACTAAATCTAAAGAATATATTTAATAATATTGGGCTAGCAGTGACCTATTAATAATTCATAATTAATTTGATTGTTAGGAAGTTAAATGTAATGTATTTATGAGACACCTCATGAACGATCAATATTACAGGTAGTATTATTGATTTAATTAAAATACTGACAATAGTCTTGAGGATGTAAGGTAGATAATGGTGGGATGAAGTCTGATGTTGAGGAATGAGCTTTTAATTCATTATTCCTCAGTATAATGGCAGATATAGATGAACTTATTTCTTTCTATTAACCTCTCCTATGACCAATTTTGTTTTCATTAGGAAAAATCTAACATAATGGTTACCAGCACCCAAATTATATTTCCTCACTAATAGGAGTCTGCG